GAGCTACTTCTGGGGAAGGCACCGGCTGTCCCGCCCGCCGCCCGCCTGGCCAGTCCTTGTTGGCCAAGTGCGTCTCCAGCGAAGACCTGGGCCACGAGTCCCGACTCGCGTGGCGCGTCTTTGGGGAGAGCCCTTGGATGGGTTCAAAGGGAAACCGGAAGGAAACCCTTGAAGTTGACGTTGGCAGGGGAGCATTTTTTTTGACCTTCGCAGTTAAGTGGTTGGACTTCCCACTAAACACAAATAGGAAAATGTTTCCCAACAACAACCAGGAACCACCCTTTTGAAAAGAAGACGCCCTGCTGAGAGACAGGTCCGAGCGGTAAGTGCTGTGGATAGACGACGTTCCCGCCAAGAAGACTGCCTATCAACCAGTATTCATAGCTCTTCATTGATCAGCTGGTGCGAAGTGGACTTTATCCATCAGCAACAGGGGTAGGAATAAACATATCTAATACCCTAAACCCTCTCGGCTTCTTTGTGGGGAACTTGAAAGCTATTCGGGGTTATTTATATAGCACAAAGCAAGACTGGGTGGTCAATTGTTGTACAGTGTTTCGACCTCTTTGAAGGTGGCAACATGGAGGTGGCGGTGTTTGTGATACCGCCCGCCCCCACATCACAATCAGCCTCTGCAAGGATCGCTTCACAGAAAGGAGCCACGCCCATTGCCACTGTCAAAATGCTCGCGAAGCACGGGACAAATCAGAACATCCCCCAGCCTTAAGGAACTCCGGGGCTTGGTTGGAGTCCCCGCAACTCAGACTCCATAGGCTTCCAACATGGGCCATACGTGGAAATCGCCTTGCCCACACCGTTGCCCCTCCCCCCAAAAAAAAACATGTGGTTTCCTTATGGTTTCAAGTGCCCTCAAAACAAACCAGCCACCCGTGTTGAAAGGTCCTAGGAAACAACTCCCCCTATCCTTACCCCCTCCCCCCCCACAGGAAAACCCCACCCCTGCCCCCTCCCCTTCTCCCCCCAAACCCCGCCCCTTCTCCCCCCAAACCCCGCCCCTTCCCCCCCACCCCAAACCTCACCCACCCCAGGAGGAACCCCACGTCCCTGCGGGTCTGGGGGTCTGGCATCAGCTTCAGCAGCTCCTTAGCCTCCTCCCTCATGGCCTCACCGATGGCTTCGTGGGTCCAAAAACCACCCGCCACGAACGCCCGGACTGCGCCGCCTGCGCCCCCCGGGTGTTGGGTGGGGGGAGTGTCTGAGAAGGGGGTTGTGCATTTGCAGAGAGACAAGTATTGTACATGTATGTGTGTGTGTGTGTTTGTTTCTGTGTTTTCTCCTCTCCCCGAGATTGCAATTGGGAATTGGTGACTAGTGGCACTTCCTGAAGAAAAAAAAGAAAGAAAGACAAACAACACGAACATTGCAACCTTTTGGTTGACAGTGTCTTGCGTGGGGACCACTGAATCGCCCTTTCCCTTCCAAAACCAGATGGGTTCAGTCAGGTTCGGCCACATTGCTAAGACCCGTCGCCACTTGCTGTTGAGGGTTTCATGTGCTTTCCTTTGGGTTTGGTTGCCGCAGCGTACAACAGCTAAACAAGTCAGTTCCTAAGACCTGGCATCCAGGCGATTTCGCTGCAATGCTGTTGAGGCCGGCTCAGGGTGTGCGCTGCTCTTTTGACAAAATGACACTCCACCCAACGCTGGGGGCAACTATGGCAATTCAGCTCCCCGTTTCAGCTTGAGGTTTGGATTGTGGAGGTTTGGGGTGGTCCCTAACTTACCCTCAACCAGAAGCAAATCGGGCTTTAATTCCAAATCCACACCACGAACTCCAACAACCAATTGGAACCCCTCCAGCCCCGTGGCTCTTGAAAAATCTCCGTGGCGCGAACTTTTTGGACATGGAGACCAAAGCCCACCCCGCCCAAAATGGAAGGCTCGGTGCATCATGCGCATCTCCAAATGGGAACGTGAAGAACGTGGGGACCCTCATGCACTCTTTGCCTGGTACCCGCAAAAGAACATGAGGGACCCCTTTGGATGGAGGTACAGCTCCTCCATATTATAGTACTTAGGAAACTTGGGAGTGCTCAATTTTGGGGTCCTGACCCCTTTAACCCCTCCTCACTTTCTGAGTGGATTGGCAAAAAATATCAAGAGTATGAAGTCTCAGAAAGTAAGCCTCCGTTGGCTTTTCCTGGGCGAAGCAAAAAACACTTCCACGGCGCGCCCAGAAGATCCGATACGATCGATCCCGCCTTTGCCATGTCGCCGGCCTGCAATGGCTTGGTCAAACTGAGAGCAGCTTTCGTCATTGGAGCTGAGGGGGGCAAGCCTTCAAGGGAACTTCCTCTCAAGCATCCTGTTCAAGCCATTTTTCTTGGAGTTCTTGGTTTCCCGAAAAAAGGCACCTTCAAACCATGGGGATAGTTCCCCTCAGGAACACAGGTGTTGCACTTATTGGTAGGCCGGCGAAGAAAGGGCATCTTTTAGCTGCCAACGTGACGCCAACACCTCGCAAAGTCGCCTTGGGCATCGTCAGTCAAAGTTGCACTTGCGCAGCTCGAACACAGGATGGAACACACCCCGAACAAACAATCTACTCTTCAAGCAACCGCCACTTTACAGGGGCCAGGGTCGGGTTGTTTAATTACACAAATGCCCAGGCTTAACTGAAACATATCTAACGCAGCTTCTGCCCCGCACAAAAACACTTTGACGAGTGCTCGTAGCAACCCATGAAATGTGAACTCATGCGAGATGCGAGACCCGTGGTGTGGTTAAAAGCAGGTTGCCTTCCCAACATGGCACTATCTCCTGCTTGCTCTTTAAACCTCCACTTTTGGACAGGAGGGGTCCAGCTTTCTCTCTTTTTTCTACCAACAGCTGGACATGGTGACGGTGAAGCAACCCCTGCAAGTGACCCTAACTTGGAACCCATTTCGGGGTTCACCACTCTGAGTAGCAAATCCAAACAAGGGATTTGCAGGCTTGAATCCAGTCAACAACTGGGGTAAAGTCTGCTGGGTCGTTGTGTCTTGAGCCTTGAACTTTGTAAGTTGATCGCACAAGCATTTCTACAGGGCATCGGCTAAATACGGGCTACACACCAGGATTTCCTGCAGAATTTCCTGCTGATTTCTTGAAACCTCACTTGCCCAAAGGACTCAGAAATCACATCTTAGCCTCTTAGGACTTTTAAACACGGACCAAGTTGAAAAACCCAAAAAGTCAAACGGTTGATTCTCTTTGGGCCACCGAGGAACTTGTCTCCTTCCTGGCCAAAGCAAAACCGACTGCCGTGTCCTCGATCTTTGAGACCGCGTCCAGCTGGCCACGGTCCTGAGAGCGAGGGAGGGGAGGTTTGGAGGGAGGGGAGAGCCCCCCCGCCGTGCATGAGAAAAATAGAACATGTTTAGACTCGAGTACAACAGAAGTTTTGCAGGAAACTTCCAGAAACATATATGGCCCGTCTACATTGTGGTTTGAGAGTTTGAAGAGACACCACCCCAAAAGAAATGCTAAACACCTCTCAACATGCAACCCCCACTCTTGTTGGACCCCGGTGCTGCTGTTCAAAGCCGCCTTGTAAAGGGGCTGCCCAGAAAATGACAATCCACCCGCCACATCAGCCTTTCGACCACCCATGGCAGCCGCCAGCAAAGACTTCACACATCTTCACACGAAGTTGGCGTTTCCGCACTTGAGAGTTCAACCTGTGAATAATCTACCAGCAACCTTCCACAAAAAAAACTCATTGCGAGAGACCTTGGCAGAAGAAAGTGCCTTTTGTTGGGATTGATTCCTTCCATGCTTAGTATTGGATCCCACCAAACGAAACGGGATGGAACCTTGCAACCAAGTTCCCGGAGGGTCCTTGGTACGTTTTGGCGATCCCCTACTTTATTGTTGTCCCCGATACTTTTTAAGGGAAAACAAGTGAATACAAATGTGTTACGATCAACACCTGGCACAAAAAGGCCGGACATCCGTACCATCCGTACCTACTTCTGGTTGGGGCTATCCCTCATAACCTTTTGTCGGCCATTGCCCAAGGTGCAAGAAGCCAATTGTCTGTTGATTCGTGGGAAAAAAAAAAAAAAACACATTATCCCCAAAGGCTACAGGCCAAGTATGGAATCCAACCAAAATGCAGCCAAGCCTTCATCTACCCGAATCGGTTTTGGGCAAGCAGCACGGATACGAGTGCTCATTGCCGAGGCGCGCCCGACTGCTTGGCCTCCTCCCAAGCCGACTCCAGCATGGACTTCAACTGGAGGGAAGCGGAAAACAGCGGAACACACACACACACACAAACACACACAAACACAGCGCGCACACACACACACAACACATGTGAGTGTGAGACTGGATGTAGTTTACCACCAAGATGGTCTTCTGAAAAAGTTTGAGGTACAAGCTGGCGTGGCAGGTGAGAAAACAAAGCCTTCTTGGAAGTGCCTGGCGTGCCCGAATGATGTCGAGAAACTTCTGCCGAATCTCTCGCATTTGCCGGGTCGAGGGGTTTGACCCCTTCAACCCTTCTGCTTTGGCTGACCAAGCCATCAATCATGCGCCAGGCTTCTATCCGTCTTTATGCCGACCCTTTGGATAAGCTTGGCTTCCCGAGAGCAACAACCAGGGATCTATTCATGGGCCTTTCACACCCTACATGCCAAATCTCTATGCCGCCCCGGCCCCTCAGTGCTTTCCATATTTCCGGCCTATAAGCATTCCCCCCCACCCGAAAGGGACAAAGATCCTTGGCCTTGGCCTTCAAGGGCGGGCAACTCCTTTTTGTCGGGGATACTCCTTCAGGCTTTGCCGGCGAAAGCGCGAAATTCCGCTAGGAACCGAGCCAAATATCCCAAACCAGAGGGCTTTGGCCAACTCCCGTGTCAAACTCACGGAGCCGGGCCCAACATTCTGTTTGTGCCGGCTTTCCCTGGGACCCTGCCAGCCCAACACGCCCGACCCGCCGCTCGAGTCGACTCCAAGGAGCCTCCGCCTCCATGGCATCTCCCAGCGCTTTGGCTTTCAGGAAAACGAAGGCTTCGGAGATCTGGCGGGGCCAAGAGAAAGCCGCGGGGTTGGTGGGGGCTGGCTTTGGTGGGGGGGGTACTTTAGACTGGGTTTAGGGTGGCTTTAGGGGGTTGGCGGCGGGTTAGTTTAGAGTGGGTTTGGGGTGGTTTTAGGTTGGTTTAGGATAGGTTTAGGCTGGGTTTGGCGGGGGGCCTTAAACATCACTCGAAAGCAAGCTCTCTGCGTGTCTCACTTCCTGAGTGGACGTCCGAAAGAAATGTCCAAACTGTGTGTATGCCGCTGAAAAAGGTCTTCCAAAAAAATACAAAGTCCATGACCTCAGGAAGTGATACATGGTGAGGTTTAAACCCTCCCCAAAAGGCTTTAATTATGGGGAACCCAAACCAAGCAGGTTGAAGGCCCGGTTCCTCGTTGCAACTGTCGGGTCCCATGCCCAGGTAAGTCCCGGAACTCAGCGAGAGAGGTGACAGGAGAGAGGTCACAACTAATCTGGGCAAATTACTCCAGTTACAAATGGCTGTGGGTCAAAATCCCGTACCCCCAGTGAACATCCCAATCCCCACTAAAATAGACTAAAATGGGTGGTGCACCTACCCCAAAATGGTACCATTGGTTTTGACCCACAGCCAAACGGCAAACAAGGGAACCCCTCCCCAGTACAGGACTGTCATGGGTGTTCGCTCGTTTTACCCGGGGAGATCTTTCCGATGTGCCGTGGATAAGCGGGTTACAGCCAAGGTACCGCTACGAACCAACTGCGTATAGCACCAGTTTAGGGGTACTACCTTACGGGCATTTGAGGCCAGCCCAAAGAGGCCCTAAGTGAGTCCCGAGATGGACAGTTTGGCGTCCGTCTCTATTTTCATTAATCAACCCCATGAGCGAAAAGGAGACGCGCCTGTTTGCGCTCTTACCCAATGATCCCGCAACTCTCGGGCGGCAGAAGCGCCGACACCAGTCTCTGACACCTGGGTGTGTCTTGTTGTTGAGGGTACCCCTTTTGTTGTGGATTTTCAAGCAAAACCATAAGGAAAAAACACGCAATCCAAAGTTGGCCCCCCGGGAGTAGAACATGGCCTTTGCCTCTCAAGGCATCTTCAGGCTCATGGAAGGGCCCTCGGGAATGCATCCGAGGGCTCTTTCAGGCCTGGGTCTGTCTGTTGAGGTTCTGTTCTCTCTTTGTGCGGGGTGGTTTTTTGCTTGGGAAGTTCGGCAGCAAAAGTTTTGTATGAAGGTCTTGTGCGAGTTAAATAGAACCGGAGCGGATGCCCCGAAGAATCGGTGACGAACCAACTTAACAAGGAACACCACTTGATTCGCAACCCAGCCAGGACGAAATGTACAAAATGCACCGACCCAGAAACAAACAAACCAATATACCAACCAAATGAACAATATATACAAACCAGGAACGCATGAGACAAATATACTAGCAAGATCCAACAAGGAAAACACACACCAAATGCAAGCAAGCTCCAACAAAAACACAAATCAAATCCAGTTGACTATCTTTGAACTGCAGCTGGTATGCCAGCCTAGCCATGGTGGAAAGAAGACCATTTATGTCAACCTGCTTCAAAGGCTGGAGGCAACCCCTAGGGCAAAACTGCAAATCTATGTATACATATATATATATATATACTTAGCGGCTCCCTCAAAAAATCATGAGTAGGCATCAGGGCACATGGACATTCTCGGCTCCCACAAAACTCCTGAGCACCCACGCAAAAAGCAAAGGGACCATGTTTAAAGGATGCCGGGGAACCCTTGGGCCCCATCACCGTCCCGTCGAACAAATTCCCAAAACCAAAACCCGCAGATCGCCTTGACGGCGTCGGGCTTTTCCCTGAGACTTCGCCAGAGCTCGTCCCTCTGCCGGAGGTCTTCGATGAAGTCGAGTGAGAGGCCCTGAGCGCAGGCTGGCTGACTGAGCCAAGCTTCTCAGGTTGGGTGATTTGTGGTTGGGGAGTCCCCAAGGAGGGGTTTGAGCCTAGTGTCAAATGGGCCCACACTGATGCCCCACTGCATATGGTCAACAGCAACATTTGGAGGGGTTATTCAACCCAAGGATCTGTGGACCGCCCGAGAGTTGATTGGGGCTTCCTCAAAAACGCACGTCCCGGATCTACAGAAGCCCCTTCCCGACTTGCAAAGTGCAAAGTTTACTTTCTGCAGCTCCTACATGCAAACCAACTAGGACAATTACAATGATTCACTAGAAACAAGGAGGAGATCTCGTTCTACCCACAGGTGTGATGAGTTGGGTCTGGGTCAAAATTAAACCAACAGGGGACCGCATGTTTCCATTTACCAGAGCAACCCATTTGGGGTTGCTTATATTTTTGACCCACAGCCTTGCTATGATGTGCCCAGAAACAAACCAACACACCAAGCAACTCCAAGTGACCTGGCTAGCCGGATCTCTTCACACGAATGCGCAGCTGCCACACAGGGCTCCCAATTTGACCGGCCTACATCAGCCCATTATTTTACAACGTCACTTGAACTTGTTCAAGGCCCATAACGTCACTTGAACTTGTCCTTCAAGGCGATCTCCTTTCCCCCCTTTTTTCTTGCTGGTGCGATGGGGAATGAGAAATGGAATGACCCCAAAAAAACATGCCTGGAGGGAATCACCAGGTTCATTCCCAACACCCTCGGTCATTCCCTACTCAGCACCAGCTGGTAAAGGTGATGTTTGGATGACTTCCAAAGGAAAATGATTGGACACCTGCTCCGCGGGAAAACGCACGAAAGGAACTGGGCATTCGGCAGAAAGGAGGCCAGCCTCGGTCGGTCCCGCGTTCGGCGAGAATGCTGAGGAACGGGAGCATTCCGTTTTGAGGAGGGGCCCCAACCCCTGCATAGGGCCAAAGGAATGTGCAAGAAACACCTGGGTGTGGGGTCAAAGGTAGGTACCAAAAATCGAATCCTATGGAAACATGGACGAAAATATGCGGTCCATATCCTGGTGGTTAAAGTTTGAACCATACCTGGAATGACCCTGATAAACCATCCAACTGGCGGTTTCATTTCTGGGGACCACATTCAACCACATTCCCTACCAGCAAGAAGAAAGACTTCACCTACCTGGAGTCTCCATGACAGAGTGACGGTCAAATGAGCCCCCGGTCTTAAGGGTCGCGGAGACGCCAGGAGCTCCTGGCAGGAGCCTCGCAGAGCTCCTGGCCAAAGCTTTGGACTCCTCGGCCATGCCCGCCACCTCCTAGGTGGACGAGGCTTTCTTTTGCGCGCGAAAGCAAAAACACATACACACACACACACACCGCTTGTTGTTGTTGTTGTTTTTTCTCTTTCTTTGTTTTGGGGGGGAGGGTGGCCTAATTTTTGGATGGTACCCCTTGTTTTTATTGGAGGGGCGGTCTGATTCTTGATGGTGCCCTTTATTATAGTTCTTCTAAATGGTTGCCTACTTCTGGCTTGTTTTTTTTTTTGGGGGGGGGTCTGATGCTTGATGCCGCTTGGGGTGGTTGGAAGGGGAACCCCAGGAAAAAAGACAGTGACACATTTTGAGGGTCCCCTATTTGAGACAGCATTGCTCGTTAGTTGGCGGTTTGGATTGGGGAGGTGGTTGTTTTCCATTTGCAGGAAACCAAGGGACCAATCCTAACCGCCAAGAACCCTGTATAAATTCCGGCTCCTCCCCAAGCCGGAAGGAGGCTGAAAAGAGGGTCCATGTCCCATTTTGGGAGACACCTCGAAGAAACATGAGTGGCTTCTGGTGTTGGTAAGTTTGCAGAGTCCGGTTTCTTGATCTGCTATCCCAACTCCTGAAAGACGAGTCTGGTCTTTCGCAGGACGCGTTTCTGTGCACTTTGTGGGGGTTTCCCGGTGAACTGAGACTTCCGCGTGCCCTCTTTTGCTTGGCCTTAGGAAAGAAAGCGGAAGTGTTGCCAGTCTCATGGTCCAAACTTACACATGGTCCAACACTATCATGCTCCCAACCCACTTGGACACTTGCTTTTGACATGTTGAGACAGCCCCGGAGTTTGCCAGGCCCTTTGATTTCTGTCGCGCCCTGGATCTGCGGGTGCATACATACCCTGCAGGCCAAGTTGGAAAGGGGCATTCTGCCTAAGAGGTACCTACTGACTACTTCCACACAAATCGAAGGGTAGTCCGAGTCGCATCCGTCGACCCTACCAAATCAACAGGGAAACATGGCCTCAGGTTGGCCTCAGGTTCCGACACCGTCTCATTACTGTGTCTCAGAAAGTGCGGCTCACCCCTAAAGCCTTCAAACCATCAACCCTTTGGCGAGACACTTCGCCGCAAGCAGACAGCCGGCCCAGGCATCCCGCGAACCAGCAACTAGACTTAGCATTGGGGGAAGTGACAACGACATCGCCGGTAGCCGAAGAGAGCAGGGCAGGTGGTAAAGTGGCTGAAATGGCTGTACCAACCTGCCACCAGACACCCTGGAAAAGGAGGCTCCTTCCAGACCCAAGGCTCGTGCAGCGACGGGTGCATGCGGTATACTTCACTGACTGTGGGGTGAAGTCGTCTGGTCGAAGGTGCATGTGAGCCCGTTCGAGGGCAGTCGCGAGAAAGCGAATGCCGTATTTGTTGCCCAGTCGGGCGAGGCAAATACTTGTAGCGCTGAAGCCACTGAAGGCAACTGTTTGTATTGGAACGAGGCGTTGAGGAACCTTGCAAGCATGCCAAAAGGACTGCAGTTTGGGCGTTGCTCACAGGGGCTCACCATGTTTCTCCCTCAACCATTACCCCAAGATGAAACTCACCTGCAGTTGGTCCAAGAAGTGATCTGAGTCACAATCAAAACCTGGTATTAAAATGGTCGACCCAGAACCATGTAAAGAATTAAGAAGGCGGCCGCAACTATTTATGGGACTGTTCCTTACTAACCTTCACTCACCCGGTTTTTGATTGTGGCTCATCTTTGAACACAAAGAAGCGATGAAACGGAAAATACGGGGACCCCTGGCTGCCCTTCCTCTTCCCTCTCTTCCCTTGCTCCTTGGGCGCCGCCTCCGTGTCGCAAGGGTTCAGCCGCCACTTCTCCTCACACGGTGTTTTCCTACGACGTAACGAGACAAAATGTGAGCTCCCTGGCTCCCTGCTCGGAAACTTCGAGAGAGCTTCCCCCACGGTTGCATAAAATAACTACGCCTTAAAAAATGAACTGCTCTTTCTGTTGTGATTAGTTGCGGTTTCTGACCAAAACCTGTTGGCAGAATCCATGACACACTAGCCGATGCTTCCAGGTTTGGGGGGCTCCCTGGCCTGAGGTGACCTGAACTGGGCACACCTTGGCCTGGGGTGACCAGCATTGAAAAAACCCGAGGGCACAACTCCCCGTAGACGAGGGTGAGCAACGGGGATGACTAAACCAAAATGGGCTGGAGTTGCCGCGCTTACTTTCACCCACCTCTACCCAGGTTTTGCTTGTGACTGCAAGTACTGCAAATTTGGGGACGGCGATGCCCCGACAGTCAATTGTGCCATCTTCTTTCACTCAACTGTGTGTGTGTGTGTGTGTCTGTGTTGATTTTCGGCAACCTAAAGATGATGGAGGGATCTCCCCTTTCCTTCTCCTTCAACCCCGCCACAAACATTGGAGGTATCTGACAAGTCTCCCTTTGCCTCTGACCCTGTCAACCTGCCGTTGCCTTGTCAACGAAACTTGGTTGACGTTGGAAGGGGAGCAAAGATTTAATTTTTAGCAGTTGAGTGGGGAATTCCCACTAAACCGCAATGAGCAGAAATGTTAAATGGCATGGAAAGGGCAACAAAGGCGAACTGCTCCACTCCCAGCGCTCCCAGCGCTCGCGCTCGCTGGCGCCTCAAGGGACTGCAGCTCTTTGGCCGCAAAGTTCCGGACCTCCGGCAGGTCGCTGGACCACGCCTCGGGCGAAGCACGCCGAGCCACGCATGGGAGCTGAGGAGGGGGGTTGAGGAGGGGCTCAAAGCCATCCTTTCGAGGGAAATTGTGAGGATGACCCAGTTTGATTAGGGGGGACATAAAGGGTTGAGTGTTCAATCCGTTTACAAGTTCACTTGGTACGTTCAATGATGCATGTGTTCCAGCGGTGCTTTAAACTCACGGCAACCATCGGGCCGGAACACAAATCACACATGAAAAGAAACATCATGCTACATGAGCTCATAGGTCACATTTGACAACATAGCTTGTCTTAGAGAATTCAAAGCGCCTTTGTCTGGGGAACTAGCCGCTCACAACATTGCTAACAGAACCAAACTTGGATGCATGATTGTCCAAGTTGTCCAAAACCGCATGAAACAAACCTGGTTTAACCAGGGTTCCTTTTGTTTCATGTCGATTTTGGGTGATCCTAGATGGAACCCTAGCTCGTAACCCCAGTCTAACGGCCTGAAAAGACATGGACAAATTGGCGAGTCAACTGAGCTTAGTGGGGAACATAGAGAGCTCTTCTTTACCTCATGTCCATCCGAAATGGACACCAGACTTCCAGCAAGTTGGACCGGGCATCTTGTGCGCTCCATGGCGTTGCCATGCCACCCTCGAGGCAAAGGCGTAGAGTCGTAGCAGCCACTTGCCGTCGCGGCTGGAAACCGCTTCCTTCTGCAGCTCCCGCAACGCCTGTCAAAAACTCTGATTTGGGCAGGTCCCTTGTCTGGCTCGCTACCCTTTTTATTGGAATTCTCGGGCTCGCACTGGCGGACTGCCCATAAAGAAAGACCACCTTGTGGGAAGCCCCCAAGCAAAGAGAGAAGGCACCGCAGGTCAAATGCAGCCAGCGCCCTGGTAAGCAACTGGCACACTTGAACACATGGGGGAAAAAACAAGGTACCAACAACGAAACCCTAAAAGAATCCCCTAGCAGAGTTGCATGAAGGACAAAGAACAATGGATATGTCTTCTCTATGGCAAATGCGTATAGGTCAAACTTAGACCACCAGGGAACCGCAGGTTTTAGTCCATGGTTCCACTTACCAGGGCAACCCATTTTGGGTAACTATTTTTGACCCACAGCCATATGACCCTTTATTGTTCATGTTTCGCTTCAGAGTTCCATGAATTTGGGTCCGAGGCCTTTCCAAAAACGGGGAGTCAGACAACTCTTGCCTTAAGGGTTTTTATGGGCAGTCGGGGGGGGGGCTTGGTTCTCGCGTTTCGCTTGCCATGTTGATCCCAGGTGCCGGTTAAAAGGGGAGATGCATTAAATCCAAAAGGGTGGGAGGAGAGTTCAGCCTGGGGCCAAAACACCCCGCTAGACGCGAGTGGGAGAGAGGGGGAGGGGGGTGGTGTCATCCGCAGCCAGCTCCTCAAGCACATGCCTGCGTCGATGAACCTTCGGCTGCTGGGGTCCCTTTGGGTTTTGGGATGTTCGATCCTGTAAGCCTCTAGATGTGTCTGTTATGCACCTCATGTGCTTTCAGTACTAGCATTTGCACCCATGGACCCCATGGCACAGTGTTTTCTCTGAACTGCTAGGCGAATTGACCCTAGCTCTGGATACCTCTGGCACAGTGTTTCAGTGTTTTCTCTCTAGGCGAATTGGATGGTGTCTTTCATGCACTGTGAGCGAGTCTGCTGCACTGTACACAGCCCTTCACATATTGAAGCCGCCGCCGCCGCCGCCCCCGCCATAGTTGATCCTCGGGCCGAAGGGATCCCAGCGAGCAACACGTGAAGACTTGTGGCTGCTGAAAAGGGAAAATGAAGAACACCTACAAAAGCTTGCAGTTTACAGCAGGCAACCCAGGAAAAACACCAGATAGTAAACATTGTGAGAGACCCTGGATAACTACTGTAGCGGCTTGCACCGGGTTGAAAAAACCGAGGTCAACATGATCACTGTTTGTTGGTCGTTCAACTGGGTCAACCCCAAAGACAAATAGGTCTGTCTTTTTTGAACGCACCCTTTGTTTGGCGGTTTCAAAGCAAAAACATGAGGAAAACCAACATTTTGTGGATCCCCTAACAAAAATAAATACTCAAATGGCTCCCTTTGACCTCGACCCTCATGTTGGCTTAGCCCCGGATGAATCTCTCATCGAACCGACTTGCGAGTGTCGGTCGACTTCCATGGGGTGTCATGGGGTGTCAGCACACGCGCGGCGGGTGCCTTTTGCTGCGAAAGCATTCAGCTCATGGGCCCTTCGAGCCGCAAGGTTCATATGACGCATGCGATGTGTCAACGGCCAAAGCGCAATGAGGCTAAGTGGCCAAAAACTTGTCACTGATCCTATTTTCTTTTGGCGCATCGCCATTCGGCTCATGCCATGAAGAAAGGACCGTGTCAAAGTGGCTCGGGTCCATGACTCTCAGTTCTCCTTGCGGAGCTGCACGATGGGCTCCTGGATCCACTGAAGCAGCTGCTGCCGAAGTGGCTTGGAGGCCTTTGTGAGACCATCCGCCGCCATGAGGGTCGTCGGAATCCCGTGCACGGTGCGAGGGGTGATCTCCTCCTGGATGCTGCGAATGTTCACCATGCTGCGCTTGTCCGTGAGGGACACATTCTCCTTCACGATGCTATCGTACAAGGACTTCGCGTCCACCACAAGGAGGGTCTTGAGAGGCGAAGACTGCTTGTGCGCGGGCACCCCGTTGATGAACTCGGCCAAGCTGAGGCTGGTGAAGGCAACTCTGTCAGTCGCTGAGTCTGCCGCAACTGCCTCTGCTGCGAGGGTTGACCTGCACACACGAGTGGCTCTGCCGCTCTTCCAGTCCACAGGGGCGCACAGCTGCTTGACCTCGGTGATGGTGTTTGCCGCCAAATGCAGCCATGCTGTGAAGCCTGATTCATCGCGTTTGCCCAACTGGCATCGGAGTATGCCAGGACAGTGGTCGAGGAGTCGATGGGGACCGGAGGGATGATGAGTCCGAGGTCCTTAGTGTCCTGCAAGTGGGAGATGGTGTCGTAGAGCATGTTCAGCTCCTTGTAGGTCGTCTCCTCGCCCCTTGAGGCCAAACTCACCCATGCCGAAACGTCTGGACGACATTGTCCAGCAATCCACTGGATGCAGCCAGCAGCGCTGCCAAACTCCGAAAAATCTTCGGGCCGAAGGAGCTCGTCCAGGTTCTGGCCGCGTTTGATCTTGCCGCTGGTGGTAGTCGCGATGAAGTCGGGCTGGTTGATGTGCACCGCCTTGCCGTTCTTATAGTCAACAAGGTTGATCTGCTCTCTCTTGAAGATGAAGGGCTTGTCGGGCTCCAGGTATCCGTGTGACCCCCATTCGAACTTCTGGAAGAACTTCTCGAAGGGAAACCTGGGGTTGTAGGTAAGTAGAAAGTCGTCCACGTAACAGATCAAAATGGCGCAGGGTGCAAAACTTCCGTCCTTGCTGAGGTCCGGGAAGTAGAAACACATGTGGTCGAACCCATGTGACCGAGGCGCGTAGACGTTACCGACTATCTCGTAGAGAGAGTTCTGGAACGCCTTTGCTCTTCTGAGGATCTCGTCCTGCTTGGGCTTCATGAAGAGTCTGCCAGCTCGTTCGGTGACGTCTTGAGCGCCCTGCAAGAACGCTGTCGTAGCATCTCCAGCCCATAGCATCCACTTATCGGCGGTCCTGAAGGCCATGCCGTGGAGTCCGCTGATATAGATCGCCAGGAGCAACATCTCGGAGATGCGAGTGGGTGTGGCAGCATTCCTCGACAGGGACCTGATGTCGGGGTCGAGGTGTCCATGTGCTACCATCCGAGCTGTTGGCTTCAGGGGTGGCTTCCCCTTTGCCTTGTCCCGGTAGCAGCATCTGGCAGTGATGATGCGCTTCCGGAGCTGAGGGTCTCTCTGGATTCGCTCAGCTTCTGCTGGTGGTACAGGGCGTATGCAATGCCATCTGTCCCAGCTGTCAGCTTGACCGCTGCCTTGACGAACTCGTGAATGTTGTTCTCGGGCATGGTCATTATGTGAGAAACCGGGAGCTCCTTCTCCAGGGCCTTGGCCTGCTGGCGCGTTAGCTGTGCCGCAGGTGATTCGCCGTAGGCCATGTTCTCGACGTCGGAGTCGTCGTTGATCGTGGTGGTCGTGTCGTTCTCGCTTTTGGCGAGCTTGGTGGCGTAGACGTCGAAGAAGGTGCTCGACTCAATGGGAGAGGTGGTCTCCGGTCCGCCATCCCATCCAGCTTCCATAGGGATGGTGCCGTCCTCGTATCCCACGAAGTAGCACTCGTGAGGTTGCGGAAGGTGCCAGAGCTCGGTGATGATGGTCATAGCTTGAGGCAGCTGTATGTCCAGCTCTTGCTGTGGTGCCTCTTCCTGGTTGATGATCTCGCCGGTCTTGGCATCGATGGTGCGTCGAAAGTAGACTCGTGACCAGGGTGGTCCAGAGGACATAGTCTGCTGGTACTCGTTGGAGTCGACATCGAGTCGTGCCCAGCAGTGAAGCTCCTTGAGGTTTACGCTGGTAGTTCGTGAGGAGAGCTTCTTCAAAGGTTCTGGTTCGTAGTTGTGGAGTTCGAACTGGCCGTTCTGCACGAGTCTGGCTTGCATAGTGCCGTTGAGGAGTGCGTCGAATGGGCGTTTTGAGGGTAGAAGGGGCTCGTCCATGCGCACCTCCGGTGGTGTTGTAGGTACCGCGGTGTCGGGATCAAATCCTGCACCTGGAGTAGGATTGTCGGTGCCGGTTAGGTCCACGACTTGTTGCTGCTGTGCTGGTAGTACTTGAGGATGAAGTGCTGGGTCTGACAGAGTCTCTCCATGATTGAAGTTCATGAGGTCGGTGCAGGAAATTGACGTTGTCTTGGAGCAGCACCCAGGGCCGACAGTCGATCTCTGCAAAGAAGAACAGCGGGTGGTAGCGGTCCATGAGGCTGTTGCAGATGTCCTGGCCGTGCTTGGTGGAGAGGTCCACGCCGGTGTTAAAGTCCAGGGGCGTCACCGCCTTGAGTCCATAGGCTGACGACATCTTTGATATCTTCGCTGATCCCGCGAAAGCTTCCATGATGTCGGCTCTGGACTTGCAGTAGAGGGAGTTCATCTGGTAGATCTGGTACTCCTTGGTGATAGCGTGGAGCGCGTTGTTCACCTTGCCGATGAGTCGTTTCTTGACTCCTGGAGCTATTGTGCATCGGCTGGCAGTTCCCAGCCCTCGTCGCTGAAGGTCTCGATGAAGTCCATCCCGTCGTCCGCCACCATCGTGTCCAGGTAGAGGTCCGTCTCGTCGGTGACCGGAAGGGCTGGCGCTCGAGTAGGACGAGGTTGCCTGCTCGAACTGCTCGTGGAAGGAGCTGGTAAAGACTTTGGAGTCTGCGTGGCTCGGGCTCCCGGTCTGAACTTCGGGTAGGAGGTCGTGCTGGTGAGCAAGATCTCCGCAGATGAGGGCGCCGGCAAAGAAAATTTGCGCGAAGGCCCTTGCCCATCTTCCAGCCAGTCCTGCTGCTTGTCGGACCACCGAAGCCTCAGGTTGCACCTCTGACATGATGCGAACCTGCCGTACTTGTTGCCACCTCTTCCACCCGGGGTGGACACACGTGTGGCTGTTGTGGATCGGTGCCTTGCCGACGTCCTTGCGTTGGTCGATCCATTCCTCCTGGCGGAGGTGAAGGGTCAGCCACACTCGATGTGCAAGGCCGCGCTTGACCATCATGGACATGTAGCGAAGGCACGTCCACTCCAGCGACATGAGCCTGATGACGATCATCCTCCAAGCCACAGCCCATTGAGGCGCAGGTCGGCTCAGCATTCGGGCAAGTCTGGGGCTCTGTCTGAACTTCGGGCCTCTCAACTGCTGTGTTTTGCGAGGTTGAAAGCAACACAAGCTCCGGCTGCGAATCATCCCAACTGGAATCCCGTGCGAACTCGTCCCACGTCGGACTCGAGTCCGCGCCTGCACTGAAGTTGGCGATCTCGATGGCGAGATGGCCTGAGATGCGATGCAAGGGAACGGTCTTGCCGATGGTCTTGAGGATGACGATTCCCTTTGAGAAGTCCAACACTGCTTGCATGTGTTCGAGAAAGTTGTTGGATGCCAGCAAAGGGATCTGGGTGTTCACAATTGCGGCTCCAATCAAACACTCAACATCGCCGATGATGGAGGGCAGGTAAACCCGTGAAGTGGATTTGATAGGGGCGCCGCGTCCAAACTGGAAAAGTTCGGAGTTGGGGGTGACGTGGCTCTGCAGGTTCTTGCTGTGGAGGAGCTTCTCGTGGGATTTCAACCACTGGGGTCCGCAACACGTCCTCTGGCACGCAGTATCGAGGATCATCAAACCCGAAAAGGATTCCTGGGAGATGAAAGTGTCAAACACGACGTTAACAGCATAGTTGGTCATGAAGGTGTAGTAGGGGATGGTTTCGTTGGTGCTGTGGTTGACGGGGTTGTCGTCGTGGTTGTCGGGGACATTGACGGTGAAAAGCACCTTTTTCGGCTGGGCGTCCTGGTCGCGATGGCCTTTTGACCTGGAGTCGGGCTTGGCTCGGGTGCCTTTGCTGCCTTTGCCACCCTTGCTGCTCTTCGTGCAAACAGAGTCTCCGCTCCAGTGTCCCAAAACGCCACAGGCTGAGCAATGCGAGGATTTCTTGCGCTCCTCGATGCTCTTGTTTCCTGAAAACTTCCGACCAAGGGTGGTGGCTTTGAGCCGTTGGGCATCGTTGGGCTGTCAAGGTCAACACATCCGCGACCTCTGCAAGGTCTGCAGGAGCTGTCTCGTCGCCCTCGTGGTCGTCGTAGGTCGGCTCGTCGCCAACACACTCCTCAACCTGGTCGGTCTGATCGTTGTGATCGGGGTCGTGCTAGGGGATGTCCTCGAGCTCGGGGTCAAAATCGGGCTCATCATTGGGTTGGTCGTCTATCTGGTCCTGGTCATCGGCCTCCGTGATGTAGGCATTGTGCCGGTGAGGCGAGAACCTGCCTTTCTTGCCGCCCTTGCCATACGACTTGGACGGTGCTGCGCCGTTGGGAAAGGTCGTAGTCTGCTGAGGCTTGCCGCCTTTTCCGCCGTGGTTGTAGCGCTGTGTGGGTTGCCCATCGCGTCCGTGTAGCACAGGAGGTGGCTTGTGCTCCGGGAAGCTCATGAGCTTTCTGTTAATCTGGTAGCCGGCACCGATCAAAACCAAGCGTTGGGCGTCTGGAGAAAGCCGGGCTCTCTCAAGAAGCCTGTAGCCCTTAGCCTCCGAGTCGTACATCTTATCCGGGAAGATGTTCACGGCAGAGAGCTGCGACTCCGTTCTCTCATACCTGTTGAGGTATCCTCTGATTGACTCGGAGGGCTGCCTGACGATGCTCTCAAAGTCGCCCAGTAGCTTGCGTTTCTGGTAGACGAGCTTGGTGTCGAGGTTGGACTTGAGGAAGCTGACGATATAGTCGATCCCAGCCGCGTGGTTGATCCGCTCCAAGGTGGCCGTCTCCAGGAGTTCACCTGGTGCTGGTCCTTGGCGTGAGTCCCATGGAGGCAGTGCCGCTCTGATTGCCTTTCTTATCCTTGTGCTTGTTCAGGCTGTTGAGGGCCGTGACCAACTGCTGTATGGCATCTTGGTGTGGTTGTCCAGAATCGTCATGAGGGAGTGCGTCGCACCAGGTTCGCCGCGTGCTCGGGCTCGGCGACGTGGCCTTTGCCGGCGTGGCGTAGGCTGCATGGTGTCCGGGTCGATGCTGGGGTCCTTCGTGGGCCTTTCGGATTCGGCAGTTTCACCGGCTTCAACACCAAAGGACGAAGGGGGTCCTCTGTTGCTGGTGGTGGGCCTACCGATGGCAGGAGGTCCTGGAACTTCCGGTGGGGTAAGGTCCTCGGATGGCTGGTTGGGCATGTACATCCAAACTCCATGGCGTGTCTCGTGCCGTTGATGGTGCCGAGCGTTGTAGAACTCATCAGCTCCACAAGTGCTGCAGATCCATCCGGATTGGTTGGCCATGAAGGTGTCACCTGCACAGTGCCAGCAACGCCAAAGCTCGAGGCTTCTTCCACCGCTGGAGCCATCCGGAACAGGGGGTTCCTCAGCGCGGTCCTCCGAGTAGATCTCGAAGTGCTCAGGCGCCGGATCATCCCTGCCCACCGTTGGGCTCCGCTGCCAACTCACCGAACCGACTTGCGAGTGTCGGTCGACTTCCATGCGAATGTCAGCACACGCGCGGCGGGTGCCTTTTGCTGCGAAAGCATTCAGCTCATGGGCCCTTCGAGCCGCAAGGTTCATATGATGCATGCGATGTGTCAACGGCAAGGCGCAATGAGGCTAAGTGGCCAAAAACTTGTCAGAATCATCCCAGTGGCTCTTTGTTGGGGGTGGGCTTCGCCCAAAAGTGAAGGATCCCCACTTTCCTGGTATTTCAAGGGGAATCCCAAAAAGAATGGATTGTTTCCTTGGACCTGCGCCCCTTGTGACTCAAATCATGTCCAGTTCGGCCGTGGCTCTTCGCCTTGGAGAAGTCCATCTCAGGATGGGCCGCCTTGAACTTCTCCAGCATGTCGTGCTGCTTCTCCTCGCTGGTTGAAGCTTGCGATCGGTGCCATAGGCAGGGTCTGTGGATTATTCCCACCATAGAAATAACTTAGGTCCATTCCCGCATGCCAGCAAGCTAATCAACCAACCAGTTTACTTGCTGGTGCGAAATCTGTAGGGAATGAGAAATGGAATGAATCCAGGGGTTCCCGAATAAAGGAAACCACCAGTTGGATGGTTTATATGGGGGTCATTCCTTCATTTCCCGCAGGGCACCAGCAAGTTTTCAGGAATGCTTAGCAACCAGATGACTCTGACCCTGGATGATTCAACCAACCAGTTTCTTGCTTGCTGATGGGCAGGGAATGAGACATGGAATTTGCTGGTGCGATAGGCAGGGAATGAGAAATGGAATGAACCCAAGGATTCCCGAACAAAGGAAACCACCAGCCAGTTGGATGGGTATTTTGTCGGGGTCATTCCATTTCTCATTCCCTCCTTATCGCACCAGCAAGGAAATGAAATTGCAACTTCTCTGATGCGTGACAAAAAGGGTCCCAGAAGTGGGGCTAGGTCCTCCAGTAGAGAGGTTAGAATAAGGGTGCCCTTTTTCTGTAGTCTACTCTGGTAGGGGACCCCTCCCCCAAAGGGCAAAAGGGCACTGCTGGGGGACCTAGGGGGATAAACCCCGAGTGGTCCCACATCGTGCTGCTTCTCCTGGTCCGAGGTCGGCTTCCCCAGGGACTTCTGCCTTTGGTCGTACATCATCCTGGCGCGCGGAGCGCGGTGGGACATGGGAATGGACCAAACCCTAAAAACTAAGCCGTCCATAGGGACTGCAAACCAACCAACCAACCAACCAACCAACCAACCAACCAACCAACCAACCAACCAACCAACCAACCAACCAACCAACCAACCAACCAACCAACCAACCAACCAACCAACCAACCAACCAACCAAAAAACCAAAAAATCAAAAAAATCAAAAAGACACGAGGAGTTTTGGCACTCCCCACTGTTCTTTTGGGTGGTTTGGGGCTGGATGCCCTATCGGACAGTTTCTGGGCCGTGCTCAAGTCCGAAACCACCAGTCCAAACCCCGCAATTAAGAAATTAAGGGGTCACCTGATTAAAAAAAAGGAGTCGGCCCACACAAAAACCAAGGGTCTTTCACGTTGGAGCCATGCCTAATACTGTGCTTTTCGCCTTGAACAGATGCTTTGTTGGTTGATTACCTTGGGTTGGACCCCATAAATGGCGGTCACACGGACTTACTTCATCGGCGACACCCTCAAATTGGTGTTTTGAATGTCAACTCGATTCTTCACAATTTCAAGGGTTGTGGGGCCGACCCTATCTTCTTGCAACAGGGGTGGGTGGGTAGCGCGCGAACAGTTACCTTAATGGGGTGCAAGCCCCCCCCCCATTCCTTGATTAATGTTCCCCGCATTTGGTGCAATCCCCCCTTCTCCAAATCCCATGGTTTCAGCAAAGCAAATCCTGGGAACTGCACAGCTAGGACACACCTTTGAAGATGTGGAGCCCTCCCTATACTTTGGGGATGGGGATCAAATTGTTGCAATTCACCGAACTGAATCAAAGAACCACATGGGTGCTTTAAACAAATATGAAATAAGGGATCTCCAACCCACATCAAAACAGTGAGCTCGCTTCCCCCAAACCGGACAACGAGCTGGCGGGAAAATAGGATACTTCCAAATTCCAAAGGGGTAAGTTGAAGAGTTCGACCCAACCCATCACCCCAAGAAACTCTCCTTGGCCCCAAAATGCCGAATGTCTAAACCCGCACAGGGCGATCTGGGTGCGTTCTCCCCTCAAACGGCAATTTCCAGAGCCCTCCGGGTCCATTTAAAAAAACTCACTTCCCGAGTGGATGGCCCAACGAAAATCCACACTTGTTGTTTGTCACTAAACTGGCCACCAAACCCAAAAAGTGACCATCAAGTCCGAAACGAAAAACACAAATCCCAGCCCCAGCGCTCCCCATTCCATCTGCAAGCCGCTCATTCCCGGAAACTTCTTACGTCAACTTCGAATTCGAATTCGCGGAAAGAAAAACAGAAAAAGAAAAACGGCCGGAGGCGCTTCTCCACGGTCATGCGGGTCTCCCCGTCCAAGTCCGAGAGCTTGGAGTTCTCCGGCACGATCTTCTTGGTGTCGATGCCCGGGTCACCCTCCATCACGCAGTTCCACCACTTCCTCAGGCGACCGGGGAGAAAAAAAAGACAGCCCCCGTGTTTCTTTCTTGTTTTGACCCCTCCGAACAAGAACCAAACCTCTATTTTGTTGCCCCCCCCCCCCCCCACCCCCCTGCGAACAAGAGCCAAACCTCTCGAATGTGGTTTTGGGTACCCCGCTCCCCTCCGAACAAGAAACAAATCAAGAACAAACATGAAGCAACTGGATAAAACCACTTCCTCCAATTGGGGGGTGTATGATCCTATGATTCCTTACGTTCCTTGGAGGGAAACTCTGTTTCCGTCTTGGGGTGGAATTTGTGGGTGCCCCAAGTCTACCACACAGCTACTTCTACCAGCTCCTTCAACTTGCTGCAGGATTGCAACGCCTGGTGAGACCAAACTCGGCCTCCGCCGCCCGAAGACCAAGGACGCTTTCCATCAGAACCCAAGCCCCGCCCAGCCAGCAAGCTGCACGAGGCTCAAAGGAGGCAAACACTGACAGACGGAAACAACCTAACAAGGGACGGATATGCTTATGTACCACCCATATAAGCTCGAAAGGCAGGATTCCCCCATATACACCTCCAGACCTCCAAAGCGATACCCGAAACTGCCAATTGAAAAAGGGGAAAACACGACAGCACCCAAAGTGAGCTTGGGCGCTTGCCACCTGTCTAATCATGATAAACCATCTTGAAGCATCAACCTGGCTTTCCTGCTGAAGGAATCGGTCCCTTGGGGTGTGTTGAATGCCCAAGTAAAGGCCCACCAGGGCACGCTATGTTCAGTGTCATATGCAGCCAACCTTACAATAAAACCCAATGTCGGAGAAGACGGCAGTCGATGGCGATATGTGTTGCTTGTCAGTTGCAATCGGTAAGCCGGGTAGGGAGCCCTGAGTTTGCCCCAATAGCCCTAGGCAGCCCGCATTTAAAGTGACATCATCACAACAATAATCAAATGAGAGACCCTCAAATTGTTCGGCGGGGCAAGCATGTGTCGAATGCCAAAGCTGCTGCCTGCAACACCCACAAACAATTGCAAACTTGGACTCGTCATTTGATTATATGGAGGGAAGTCAATTAAAAATACACCTACCAAAAACAACAGGTATATACTTGTGAAAACGGTTCGAACCAACTAGTATTCGGGCGATTTCCGTCTGCCAAAATGCGGTTCCTTGACGGAACCCAGATCCCTCAAAAGGGCCCTGGCAAGGATTTTCGAAGTAATGCGAGCTGAGGCTCATGCTGTCGAACTTCTCCAAGGTAATCTGCACCACCTTGTTGTCGATGAGGGTCCACATGCAATCCTCGCCAAAAGGCCGGCTGAAATTTGTGATTCAACCACTGCCTGGCCACTTTCAAGCGGGAAACTCCGGGAGGTTGTTCGAGTTAATGAATAGAGTCGAATTTAAGTTGTTTAAATGAGTTAAGTTGAATTGAGTTGAGTTGAGTGGACTGGAAATGACATGACGTAGCATGAAATGAATGGAATGACTGAAGTGGTATGACACGACATGAAAGGACAGGACAGGAATGCATAAATTGATGAATGCATGAGTTGATAGAAGGGTGGAACAGGGGTTGGCAGAACATGGCCGACGTGAATGCACTCATGGAAAGCAACGACCTGACATGACATGACAGGAAAACAAAGAAACAAGCAAGCAGGCAAACTAGAGCATGAATGAGAGCGCGAATGAAGAACTAATGGTTGAACGAACGAAGAAGCATGATCAGTGTATAAAAACTATGTCTACATCAAATGGCGTGCGTGTATTCGACACCGTAGCCCAGAGTCCCAGACTTTTAAAACGTTTACCATTGCTTTGTTCCAGCCATCGCTAACAAAAGGACACTGAATGACGTGTTGTTGTTGACAGTTCAGTCTTAATTAAATGTGGACAGGTGTTGTCCTTGAAAAGTCCTTTTGGGTAACCTCCCCTTGGCGGGTTCCAACTAGTATCTGGCTGGTGGAAGCAAAGCGCAATCGTTCTTTGCAGGCCCACCCCGAAAGGTGGGCGCCGTGGGGCCCGCGACTAATGAGGGTCTGGAGAGGGGGGGGGTTCGCGGCAAAAAAGATTATGCCCAGCCCAACTGGAAAGCAAAATCTGCTTCGGTTCCTGGCCGGGCAGGCACACCCGTTTACCCGCACCTCAGCATGGCACGCACACGCGCGCCTGCCAAATGATAAGCACTCCCGCTCAAGTGTGTCCGCGTAGCACTGCAACGCATGCCTGCCAAATTAGAAGCACACCGACTTAGCAAGCACTGCAGCAGATTTTCACCGCCTCCAAAACCACTGCGGCTCCTGGTCAGCACGACGCGAACTAAAATGGGAACAGAAAGAACGACTCAAAGAAGAACTAAACAACACGCCACACCAACAATCACCCAAAACACAAACCTTTACCCTCTGTCCAACAATCATGGAAGTGGACAGTGGGCTTGCCCAAAGGAAAGTAGTCTCCCAAAAGCCTCCGATCAGCTTCCACGATTGTTGGAGCATAAAATCACCATAAACCACACAAACAAACAAGCCAAAAACGAAAACCCTACAACGCCGACACCACAAAACCAAAACCTCTGAGCACATGAATCTCTAAACACCCTTCAGGTGAGAGTCGTCCGGCTTCACTTTGGAATGCATCTTGCCGTTCAAGATGAGAGGCTCCCCCTTGATGCCCAGCTTCAGCGTTTCACCCCCGATGTCGCAGATGACTTGCTTCGCCTTCACACCTCAGGGTGTTGGCTTCCGTCTCGGGAATCTGGGTGGCTCGTGGAACTTGTTGGCTACTTAGCTGGGAAACGCGCACATTGCCCTACGCAATGTGAAAGGTTCAAGTTGAGATCCAAACCAAATAGCAGGCAGGTGATTCTGATGGCTGTTGTTCTAATCAGCGCTCAGAAAAGCCATTGTGCTTACTTGATTGCTACCTACCTTTTGAGTGGATGGCCCAAACAATGTCCAAACTTATATTCCCACGGCACAATGGTCCCGCAAGTTCAGAAACTCCCCCACCCCAAAAACATTTGGGAATACTTCTCCCCACCCTGTCGCTGGTAAAAACAAAAAAAGTGAATCTGCTTTTGGGCTCCATTTTCGTGGAGAAAGAACAGGACAAGGGGTGAAGCTTCTCACAACTTGCTGCTGGAAGGGCACCTGGAGGTACAGGGACGAAAACCTCCAGCGTGCTCAGCGTCTGGGTCCAGTTGTACTTATCTGTGCTTCCGCCATTGCCAGGGGGTGGAGGCTCCTTGTCCTCCTTCTCCTCCTCCTCCTTCTCCTGAAATCTTGGACCAGCTCTGGGAACCACAAAAACCTACTACCCTCCCCTCTCCTAGCAACTGAGGGAGGGTAAAGACTCCTTCAGGAACCTGTCACGTGCCATAGTGGAGTGATTCTGTTTCACATGTCGGTGTACCTTGCTTAGGATTCACCCCCCCCCAATGATGAATCGAGGTTTCCTCATGATAGGCTTCCTTTGGAAAAACACCGAAGGGGTACGGGGTACCAGCTCCGTTACAGGCTTTACGGGATACATGAGAACCGAAACGCCCGGAAGTGGGGCCCCTGCTTGTGCAGGTGGAAACCTCGCTTCCGTGCACCAAAAAAGGGAATCGGTCTCACCTACAGCCGTCTTCGAAAACCAATCACCCAAGAAATGAAAAGGGATCCCAGGGATCTCTGCTTCAGAAACCTCCGACCCAGGCGACATCCTTAGAACCGACTCCTCTCATGGGGCATTTGGGAATCTACCTGGTGGGAAAAGGGGGCGACCCCCAAGAAGACTCTTCTTGAATGAGAGGCGATCAAGGTTTAATCCTGGGTTGCCATGGCTTTGCGTCCGGTCCTCCTCTCCCTCAGCATTCTTGGCTTTACTGGCTTTGATCTTGTCTGCTTCCTCCTCGGTCACCTCTTCTATTCTAGGCTCATTCTTCATCTTCTCCGCCTCTTCCTGTCGCTTGCGATACTCCTCTTCGTCCTGTTGCTTCTTCTCCTCCGCTTTTCTCTTTCTCTCCTTGCAACCACGCAGCGCATTCAGACTATCTTCGTAACGTACACAAAACAAAACACACACACTTCCTCCCACTCACTTGGCACCTACTCTGGTAAGATCCATGTCCTCTTCCAGCGACCTCATCAGGTGCCATGTGAGTAAAAGGGGGATTGAAATATCCTAATCTGCCCTGTCAGCACGCAAATCCTGAGCGGATGGGCCAAGTCAAGTAAAAACTGGCTCTTTACAGCTAAAGTTGTCTTCTCAGCAAGTAGACAGTTCAGGAACTCACGCAGTGAACAACATGATGGACACTCCAGCCACCTCACAAAACTAAACCCTTGGCATCGGCAAGTCTCCTCATCAGCGACTCGGTTGCGCTCCTGAGCATGTCCAAAACGTGGGCACCTTCGGCACCTTTCAGCCTTACCTCAAGTTGCCCAGACGAAACCAAGGCTTAACCTTTGAGGCCACACTATTGCTGCTTAAAGTTGGAACTGTTGATATAAGAATTGTTGGTCTTTGTTCACAAATCAACCTTTCTGGTGGGTGGGTACCAACAACTTGCGGCCGTTTCGGGAGGTTTAAATGTTGAGGGACCACCCCCAGGCCGATCAATCATCATGCAACCAAAACTCCCCGTGCCAGTTGCCCTGTGACCCTGGTAGAGAAACACTGAGAGCCCCGTTTGGTTTTCCGATCTTGCCCTTTTGATGCCGGAACCCTTGGAACAAAAAATGGCTTTGGAGAATCCCTCGTTTTGCCAATGGGGAATATAAGGTCTGGACTTTTGGAGAGCAGAATCTACTGAACTGGGCCTCAGCTTCCAGGCTTCCCCCCAGAACTCGGAACTCGAGGCTCCTGTTGCTCCTGCCGCCTCTTCTGGCCCGCCTTCCTGGGTCGCAATCGATCCGATGGCACCGGCTAGGAGCAAATGGTGGATTTTTTGAAAGAAGCGCTAAACCGACGTCGCGTCCTTTGTAGATTTGTAGATTGCCCAAAAAGTCTGCACTCATCCCCACAAGTTTGAAGTCCGTGAGCTGAGGGCTAGGTCCTCCAGTAGACAGATCAGAATAACGGTGCCCTTTTTTCTGTAGGCTAATTTAGTAAGGGACCCCTCCCCCAAAAGAGGGTAAAAGGGCACTACTGGGGGACCTAGAGGGAGTGAGTGAAACAGCCAAGCCCAGCGAGGCGTCCAGTGCTTCTTGTAATACTTGAGCACCATCTGCTCCGCTGCCTGCGCGGCAAAGCCCCAATTGCCCTTTTTCAGCATGGCGACTCGTGTGGCCATGGGTCAAAATCCCGACCCCCGGTGAACATCCCAATCCCCACTAAAATAGACTAAAATGGGTGGTGCACCTACCCCAAAATGATGACCCACAGCCATGTCAAACCGGCTGTAACATGATGTGTGACGCAGCCAGTTGGTTCCCGAAAGCTCCTGAATGAATGCAGTCAAAGTCTTTGTACCGATCTGTGGCTGAGGGGTCCAGAAGCAAATCTCACGTTTGCCTGGCCCAACTGGTGATATTTACCCCCTCGACCCAAACACAACAGAAAATGCAGCATAATTCGTGAGCACCCCTGTTGTTATCAGTGCCCTTGGTATGTGAACGAATGGGTCCGATTCCTTTGTTCCATTTGTCGAAGCCCCTCAAAAGTAGTCGTCCTCGTGCCCTGCAAAGTTAAATGGTTTCATGTGGAGGAGGAAGCAATAATCAGATAGGTACATAGCGTGGTTTGGGTCCCATATGGTCGGGCACCTGCTCCTGTAGCCTTCCCTACAAGACAGAATAGCTGATCAAAAATGGAGAAGTCCAGGATGGGACTTCGTTCGCCATTGCTATTTAGGTCTTCCAAACACCCAATTTCCACGCTGGACTCGTCTGCTTCTCTAATCCTCTTGGGCTATTGGGCTGAGGATACGTCCAAGCACCACCTGGCCAGGATTTAAATCCTCAGACTTGCATCCTTCCACAAACCCAGGAAAAATGCCCAGGTTGCTTTCCCAACCTTCAAACATCTGGAAATCACCAATCCAAATCAAAGCAAAGGGTACCTGATCAAAGATTTCACCTGGGAACAAACAAGCAAACAGAAAAATCAGCAGAATAATAACACCAACAAAACACACACACACAACAAACAAAAACAACAACACAAACAACCAAACAAACACAAAAAAACAAAACACACAAACAAAAAACGGCCCGGCGCCTGCTCATCCTGAGCGCCTGTGAAGAAGTCGGTCTTCCGCTGCAAGAAGCCGAAGAAGGCGTCCAGGATCCCATCGATGGACCCCGACCTGGAGAGGCCGCCAAGAGCGAAATGGGTCAAGGGCAAATCCAAGGCCCAAGAGGGTGAAACACCCCCAGCGTCCAAGAACCTGGGTGTGGCTCAAAATTGAAAGAGCTAGGGCAAACCGCAGCTTTTAGTCTTTGGTTTCATTTGCCACGGTGCCATTTGGGCAAACCCAAGGACCTTAAGGGGGTTAACTGGGACTTTGCCAAAAGGGTAAGCTGCTTTCAAAAACCAAGGGCACTAGGGCAAAATTGGAAACATTCAAAAGGACGGCAGAAGGTCACCCCTCCCCCCCAAAACATGGAAGTTCGCACTTCCCTGCAAGAGAAAAGTCCAAGAGGGCATGCGTTGGGAGCGTAAAGGGTTTGGAGGGGCAAAAAGGGGCACCATTTCCACATGAAAGCAAAGCACGCAAACATCTGGTCCCGTTTCTGGCTGGTGTGCAGGGAAATCAAAAGCAAAGCCACCGGTGCCGGGGTCCCTCCATTTGAGAACCCCCTGAGCAATGGCACTGTTGGGCGATGTTCAGCAGCACCCCATCGAACTTTTCAGCTTCCGAAGCCATGTGAGGAACACCGTGAGAAGCGGATCTGCCGCCCGGAGCCCCAAAATTGACCCACTAACTCTGCAACAACTTGAGCCGAGAAGCCGCGGCAGGCGACAACATGCCACACCCGTGCTAACAGAAGGCGAGCGTATTCCGTCGTATTTGATGGACACCGGGACCCCGTAAGCCCGTGTTGGAGGGTACATGGAAAACATAGTTGCTCTTGAACTACGAAGCCATTCGTGGAAGGGTAGGACTTTTTTGCAAGATTTGGCGAACGAATACTTTGAATTCGACATTTCCCTTGCGCAGTAGCGATGTGAATCCTTGTGCTGGTCCTCGCATGCAGGTTGTCTTTTAGAACCAGTCGAAAGCTGGAATTCCTTTGATTGCAACAAGTTCTCACTACAAATGGAATCACAAACTGTGGGAGTATCACGTTTCTTTTTTGGCCTCCACTTCCCACTTCCCATTACTCCGCTGCAGATTTTCTTGACGTGAAACCCAAAAAGGGATTGGATCCCTAAACTGAGGTTCCGCCATGGTTGTTTGGGCGTGGGGGTCGTCTGTTGCCCTGTCAATTGGGTAATTACCTCACTAGGCGGCGTGGCCTTGGTTATTTCTCCCTACATAAAGACAACTAAAAGGGATCAATTGGTTGGCCCAATGAACCAAAAACTGGCTCATACATGCCAGGTACCAGTGAAAATTTTACGTGGGTGACATGACTTTTCGCCGGGAAAAATACCAAGTCGGATGCCTCACACATTGACAGCTGAGGGGAGTCTCTGCGCTAGCGTCGACTTGGAGCTCTCAGTGTGAATCATCCGATGCTTCGGTCACGAAAACCACGGAAGTGCACATTGACCATGAAGATGGAAGTATAAGCACCTTCTTTCGCGACAATACCTTGTGAACAACATATTGCAAGTTCGCAAGGGACATATCAACTCTCCAGGTCCTTCTGACCCTGGATATGACTGGAGTCCCCCCTCGAAGGCCGCCTCCTGCAAATTGGCTTCGAAGCTGCACTTCCTTGCGTCCCACAAATCCTTCCCATCCTATTCCTCTTGGCCCAACCGAGAGGTTGCTTTCTGCGAAGCCCTGCTAAAAGTGAATAACTTGTAGTGTTTAATCGAAAACCCATTAGTTGGCAACCAGTTAAAGTCCTAACATCCAAGCAAAATGCACCAAAGCAACTTATGATTTCGCCGATTGGTAAGTGGTGGGGGGTATCAAGACTCAGGCTGCCACCCCCCCCCCCCGGGCAAGCGCCCAGCACACAAAGACACGGTAGATATGACGACCCCAAGACAGGTCAAAAAGTGAGTGTTAAAAAATCCGCTTACCATGTTCAAAGGGCCCGATATATTATCAATGGACAACTGGTGCAAATCAACCAGGGGGTGCCATAACCTTTGCTGGGAGTGTTGTTTGTTCCAGCACAACACCTACAGGTTTGCAAGCTAACTTTGGCATTGGACGAGTCAGCAGCCATAGGCTCAAGCGCAGGATAAACCAAAGACTGCCACAAAACCGTAAATACATTACAACAAAGAAACAAACATGTGTAGCACATGGGTAACGTTCACGTCAGATTTATCCACAGAAAAAGAGAAGCAATTGACATGGTCCTCCGCATAAATCAATGCGAAGGCGTCGCGGTTCGGTTGTCAAACGGCCCAACACTGGCGCTGGGTGCATGGTTCCCCTGTTAACCCAGATTCCGAGCTGCTTTCTGCTCCCCTACTAAAAGTTTAACTTTTAGTGGTTTAGTGGAAAACCCGTTAGTTGGCAAACAGTTAAAGTCCTAACAGCCAAGCAAAATGCACCAAAGTATTTGTAAGGAAGCACCACATAACCACATATGGGAGTGGGGATCCGCTGAACAGCTGGGTTTGAGACTCTGGTTTTCTGGGTGTTGACAGAGTGTATGGAAAAGATACGGTATGATTAAGCCCGTTGTGGTTGTATTTTGTGCTATTTGAGTTTGTGTCAAAACAGGGAATCCAAGTGGTGATTTTCTTTGCAAAATAAACAGCGTTACTCTTTGAAGGAGGGCCGTGCTGAACACCACCTTCTCCAGCCCCATCAAAAAACATCCCAGCCTGTCATGTGACTTTCAGGTGTATCTTGAGGACCGGAGAAGCTAAATCCCGGTTGAACTTCACGTGCTTACGCCGCTTGCAGCGGCGGAACGCAACGGACGCAACTGGATGTTCTGTGCAAGCCGCGACCGCTGCGCCGCGTGCATCTGTCGCAAGATGTAGCGCAGACCCAGGAGCGCCTCGCGCGACGAGTTTATTTCGACAAATCAACCCGACCGACCCAAAGAACCCAACCAATTGCTCACTTGCCCAGTTTGGACCTGGACATAAAAAGATGATCACCTTTTGGGGCTATGACTCAAAATGGACCAACAAGGGAAACCAAAAGGTCAAAAGCTCGTTTAAGGGCCAACTTCTGCTCAAACAAAAACTCTGCAGGAGTTCTGCGACTCCCTTCAAACTGAAACCTAGAAAGAGGGGTCCAAAGAGAGGCCAATGTCCTGAGGTGTGAATTAAGGCGGCAAAATTAGCTTGTTTTTCAACGGGGCATAAGCAACTCTAGGGGATGTTCGACGGAACTTTCAGCGCTGTACTACTTGCAGATTGTTTGAATATATCACAAGTTTCAGCATGTAAGTGCGACTCCAAGGAACATTGCAGCTCTTTCTTTGCAGCATCCAAGCTCTTGCAGACTCTTGCATCTGCCAAAAAGACAAACCAAACAACCGAGAGGGACAAGACTTTGTTTCAATGGTTTGCCCCGAGCTTGTCTGGTTTGTTTGATGGGAGGTCTTGACATGCCCAAAACATCTCTCTCAGGACTTGGTCTCTTTGGTCTTGTGGCTTTTCACCTTCCAAAGTTTGCTTGGCTTAAACGTAATGTTGATTAATGCATGCTTTCAGAATCCAAGGGACACCCGGAGCAATGCCTTCTGCCTCCAAAAGGGGAATCCTCAGTTCCTTCTTATTTTGCAAAAGTGTCAAGTTCTCATTTGCAAAAACTGAAGTAAGTTTGGGATCCAGTGGGTAGGCCTCCCCCCCTATCCCAAGAAAGACAGGGTGCTTCTGGGTGCTTAGCCAGCCAAACGTGACGGTACATCAATATGAATGTCTTCAGACTATGATATATTTTTACCCTCCGGTCTAACATGGACCCACCAGGGGGTCCCTTTCAAAGGAACATGGTCTTCCAGGACCCTCTGCGGGGTTGCATGTTTGTGGATGGGTAGTGAAAATTGAAATGAACCATGGGAAGACGCTTCGCTAACTCACTTCCTGAATAGATCGGTCGACAAAAGCAAATCTGATTTTGCCACTCAACTAAGTCACTAGTCGCTCCAGAAAGTACCAAGTCCAGGAATTGAGGGGATCAGGTTACATGGCGCCCTCGATCTGGGAACTCTGCAAAAGGAACCTCTCTGCCTGGTCCCGGTCGCCATCTCGCGCGGCCGCGCTCGCCTCTGCCAACCTCGCCGGTTGAAGGAGGTCCTTCGCCCTGCTCCACATGAGGCATTTAGATGTGCTCTTTTCCAAGGGATCCCCCCCAAAAGAGAACTGGTGCCGTTCCTCTTCGTGTCGAGCTAGAAAAGGGGGACCCTCAAACAAAGACACACACCTTTGATTTGCTTGTCCACCTGAACATTGTACCCCCACAATGGAAGTTCACTGCTTTTGGTGGAACCGGGGAGCGCTTCGAATGGCCGAAGAAGGGGGGGAGGATCTTGGGAAAGCGCCTCCCATTTAGTCACAGGCTGAACAGTCAGCCAAAGGCAACCAAATAGAGGAAGTGTGAACAGGCATCGTGAGAACGACCCACTCTTAGCAGGAGTGCAAGCCAAACACCTCTATTGGTCAAAGGACCGGCCTCGTAGATACACTAGTGATGATGCGGTTTGGACGGGTAAAATTGCCGGTTCGATTTGGCAAGCGACTGCCTGCAATGCTCAACTGTGTCGTTTCGCAATACAAGAGCTGTCTCGATGGAAAACATGTTTTTTTAACCAAACAGCAAAAAAATACCGGCCAGGAAGCCAGAGGAATCTACATATATATATATATATGTAGTATACAGGTCCTGGCCTGGCTCCTGCACACAATGCAATTGCCTTCACTTTTCTCTTGCAGTAACAAGCACCGCAAGTGATTGAGCCCAACAACAAAAGTACGGTGTTTGTCTGAGAACACAACCTCGTGTGATTTTTGTTTGCTTTTTTCGTGGTTGCTAAAACTTAGCCGCGGCATGTCTCTTGACCTTGAACTTGCCACAAGTGCAAAGAATCGCCGCGAAGAACGCCCGGCCTGGAAACACAGTATCCCGCAGTAGGATTCTGATAACAGGTAGAACTAGGCTCAAGGTTGACATCAACCTACTGGTTCCAATAAGTCACGACCTACCAGAATTTCTGGGGATAACAAGTCCAAGACAAGATCTCACGAGGTCGAACACGTCGAGATGCAAGAAACGCCGTGGAAACACCCCACAAAAACAAACCTAACCACATGTTTACAGGAGTCTTTTTGTCAGACAGCGCTCCCCACCTCTGCTGGCACATCTCCTTGGCCTGCTGAGCTATATCCTCGGGTTGGCATCTCGCGCCCGCAGAAATGTGGCCGCTTGACCAAGCCGTGGTCAAGCACCAAAAGACACCGGGCCCCACCAAATCGCCTCAACGCTGAACAAGCTATGGCTGAGGGACCTGCCCTCTGAAATGATACCCTATTAAACTACCAACCCTGGATTCTTCATGCTGGGTTCCCATTGGTTTGGCACCTGTCGCCTTTGCAAGGCGCCAAGACCCCGCAAGCCCTTTGTTTAAAGGGACGACAGTCTCGCACATCTCCAAAACACCCCCTGTTGCGCACCATGTGAAGGAGGCACCTTTGGGAAACATCCCGTGTGGTCCAAGAATCACGTCCTCAAAGCCAAGCAAATGGCCCAGTGGACATGTCAAAACGGCACCTTTGCTTGGCGCACAAATCTGGTCCAAAAATCAGACATTCGGATTCATATTTGGTGTCCAACAAAATTGGAATGGAGGGGGTAACGCCAGTCGGCGCGCGCCTGAAGACGCCAAGCTCCCAGCTAGACACATATATAGGTTTGCCTCAAGCTAAGGGGAACCCTCCAAAACGGTTGGTTTCCTTTTGGCGTCCCTTTAATTCAACCCAAAGTTCGGCCAAAAAGGCCCGAATGCTTGCCTAAACCTTCTGCGTCTTTGGGGTGGTTAGGTTCCTGAATTGTCTCTGGCGGACCCTTCATCCTTCGGTGTGCTTATGGCGAAGGTATCGCTTCGGAGGGCCTCTCAAAAACCCGAGAGGTAGAAAAAGGGGACTCCTCCCTTTTGTGGTTGACCCAAATCTTGGAGATACCAGCAAACAAAGTTGGATTTTGACGGTGCCACTGCAAAATTGGGGGGGAGCTTGGTTGGCAGGGTTCCTTACTTTTCTGCATCCATCTGCTTCACTGATCCTGTAGATGAGCTGTTCTTCAACTGGCCCACATGCATCCTATAATCTTGGCATTAGGACCCCAGCAAATATATATATATATGTATATTTTGCCCGGTTAGTGGAAAAGAAAGGGAACCCCAAAAAGGCAAAACAAATCAACAAGGGGAGCTAATTCTGGGGAAGTATTCTAAGGGCCCCTAACCTCAAACTGCCCCAGTCCTCCATCCCATCCAGCTCACTCTTCACCAGGCAAGAGATGAGAACTTCCAGGTCCACGTCGCCTGGACGTCTCACATTCACTAGCTTGAACAAAAACCTGCAAACAAAGAAATCCCTTCCCTGTGGGGTAGGGGGATAGGGGGGTTCCCAATTTCATGTGTCTGGTCTTCCCAACCCCTACCCCCAAAAAAATCACCTTAATCCTGATTGTTGGTTTGGGTTGGTGGTTTGAACCATAGGCGGCGCTTTTGACTCAGCTTGAAAAGGAACTCGGGTTCAACATCCCAAAGCACCAAGAGATACCTCAACTAATATAATGGGCGAGGGCGAAAAAAAACTGATTCCTCGACACCTCATGGCTTGTTGGGCTCTGCAAATTCACAGTGGAGCAGAGAGGCGCAGATCATTGTGTAAAAAGGGAAAGCCAATTGGACACCACAAATCTTATATGTTTGCATAAGCCTTCGGTCAACCCTTAGATCTTGGTGGTAATCTCATGATAGAAACCAAGTGTTGCACCGAAAGTCCAAAAAAAAACATTTTAATATGGCTCGCATCTTCAACATCTAAAGCATAAAGCCCCCCTTCGGCGGCCCTGCATGCAAAACAGTCCGAATAGACGCGAACCAACCCTAAGCCCGAAGCTTTACTCTGCTGCTTGTGGCAATCGAATCCTAAGTGTCACGGGCATTTCCAGGTATAGGTCTTGGAGGTGTGCATGCGCAGAGATACCATCAATGTAAGCACGCTCCATACCTCCAAGACCCATATCTGCAAATGTATTTGAAAGAGTTCTAGGTCAAAGGAACCCACAAGAGACAGATTCTCGGGGTGGGGGACCATTCTTTTCACAGTAAGCTTGGTCAACGCTCCGTCCAAACGTTGAGCCAGTAAGGTAGTCTCCCAAGAAACCTCAGATTCCTTCTAAAGGCACGTTTCTGGACAGGAGAGCAAATTTGTCCAAAGCGTATCCATCCACTGCTTTCCTTCGTTCCTTCTCTCGAAATCTTCGCCAGGGCTGGGCGCGGCTGGGCCGGCCCTCCAGTGGGTTCCCTTTAAACTGGGGTCATGACTTTGACTGTTTCTGGGGGCCCTCAAAGTCAGAAAATGGAATTGGGTGCTTCCCTTTAACCCGCCACTGAACGGGGGTGACTTTGATCATGGCAAAATAATGCGGCCAGTTAAGGTAAACTTCCAATTGCTTAAGCCCCGTGGAAAAAATACTTCCACCAGGGCTAGATTCCCCTTAAAACCCTTAAAACCAACAGGGCAACAAAAAAAATACATTTATATATATTATAAATATATATATATATAATATATATATATATATATATATTCATTTCAGCCAACGGAAGTAAAGGGACGATTGATCGGTTGCATCCGAGGCACCGAAGGGGGCCTTCTTCTGCTCCTCCAGGGACTCGCGGAGCTCCTGCTCCCTCAAGCGCCGGCCTGCAGTCGTACCCCCGGATTCGAGGCGCATCGGAGGCCCGGAGGAATCGCGGGAAGCGATGGAAACGGCACGGAAGGTTTTACTCAGAAGGGACCCCCCGGTAAAAAGGAGAAGAGAGGAGACAATGGAAACCCGGATGAAGCACCCCTGGTTCATTTTGATCAGGGGATGTCCCCTTTTGGTGGGGATTCAGACGACTTTTGGAGGGAACACCCCCCTAATAATGGGACGGGTTTATTCATCCTGGGTCAACATTAGGGGCTCGGAAATCTTAGCAAGGTTCTAGGGGTGTTAGTCTTAGTTCTTAAAAACGTCCTGAGTTGCTTTAGTTCTGCAAAGGGCTCTAGCAACCACTGGGAAGAATGCTGATGCTTAGCCCGAATTGAGCCTGGAGCAAAGTCTGCGGAAGCCGCAGATAGCCCCCCCCCAACCTGCTAAAATACCCAACCATACTAATCAGTGGATCCTTTGTCTAGCACGGTCCTCCGGGAAACTCCGGCTTGAAGACCAACTACTTATAATTTGCTATGATTTGCCAAAGACGTACGACATGTTTAGTGTATGGGTCCTTCCTCATGAGTTTGCGCTTGATTCAATCCGAGGTCTCTGCTCGCTTGTGCAAAAAGCCCTCGCAAGATGGCCTGGAACCAAGCGTGCAGCTTGTGTACGCTGCGCAGGGGCACACAGAAAAACAAGAAAGAAGCACTGCCCTGCCCAAGGTGAATCAAAGAGCTAAACAGCAAGTTTGCCATGATTAGAGGTAGGCCTTGCAACGTGCTTCACATTATATTGGTTGTATCACCTTTGGTTACCAGCAGAACAGGCAACTAAACGGCAGTTGAGCTGATTGTCGTTTCAAAAGGTCCAAGCCAATTCGAAAATGGTGGCACACCTGGTTTCCCTTTGAGCGAACTCCAAAAAGAGTACCAAAGAGCGTTTGTCTCAAAATTGCCCCCTCCACCCCAACCCCAACAGTTAGGTTGCTTCCGGATTCTCCCTTCAACCCCCCCCCCACCAAAAAAAAAACAAGGTGCCCTCAATAACGTAACCCCAAGTCAAAGGAACACCACCATGTTAATTGAACGCCGCCTATCTTGAGACGCACCGGAGCGCTTGCACTCCGATTTCTTCCGCGCTGCATTCGGCACAAATATCCACAGGAAGCCCCACTAAAAACCATTGACTTGTTTCAGGCTCAATGCTGACTTAAATCGGAGAATGGAAAGGGCTAGGTAACCACATACGGCGTATACACAGATATATCATGTTCTATAAACCATGCATCTATTTCTCCCTCCAATTGCCGGTTAACCATCATCATCGGATGCAAATCATGGGTGCTCGATGTTTCATGGGGCTCCCTGATCCTCGGCTTCGACTTGGGCATCTTTGGCCCTCGAGGCGGCCCACTCGGCGCTAACACTGGGCAGGTGGGTCCCAATCAAAGCCTGGTGCCAAAGTCTACCCCGGTTCTGAGAGAATCCACCAGTTGGTATGGCGAAAGAAGCAATCAATACCAGGATAAACCACTACTCACACTTGGTGCGAAGTGGAAGTTGTTCATCCGCAATGTTACGCGCATCATCCAACACCTAATTCTGTGGTTGGGCCTCCATGGGTGTCTCCTAAACCTTCAGAAATGGGTTCCTTTCGGATGCCACACGCATGGTGGTCCTTTGGTGCGCTGGAATCTCTTCAGAACCCCTTGAACAGGTCTCCTGACTTACCTGGCCCTTGGCGCACAGAAAGTCAGATCTGACTCTGGCCCATGTTTACTCTCCCTCTCTCTCATGCCATGCATATATTTGGTCTACCTTCAGCAGATTTCTAGGCTCTTCTCGGAGACCCGACTTTGATCGCTCACAGCTCCTTCCGCTTCCGCCCCTTCCCGGCCCCCGCGAAGCCCGGGAACGCCTTCGACCCCGAAGCGGCCGCCTTCCCGGCCGACGCTTCGGCGTCGGAAGGCTCGCCCGAGAGCTGAGCTACGCGCTGGGCGCACCAACGGAGGCAGTGGTCGTAGAGCTGCAGCTCCTTCGAATTCTAAGGAACTGGCTGAAATCCCGCCAACGACCATGCCAAGTGGTCCTGTAGATTAAATAGCATCCCCTTACCCGCAAACGAAGCGGTCGGTCAAGCAGAGTTCTTGATGTTGTCTTTTGTCAAGTTTCGGCGTGTTACGTCCCTCGGGCCAGCAAACAAAAGGGACCTTGAAGCGCCTGCAAGCTTCCAGCTCTTGGGAAACTAGCGTCTCGAGTGGATTCTGGATTGGCAACCAAAAATCCCTTGAACTTGGTTGCGAACCGCTGAAATGGTCCTGAAGCAACCATTTGCAAGTGGTCAGCTTCCCTCTACTTGGTGGTGTGGATTGGCGGTTTGGTCATTTACCCTCTACAAAAGCCAGGGCATTAAATCTCCGAACCAATCACCACCAAACCGGCGGGTTTCCTGAAGTAAGGGCTCCCACACATTTCCGATTCTTGGTTTGAGCCTCGGTGCGTCGCAATGTCGAGAGTCGACTAGAAAAGCTTCTTTAAAACCATGAGGCTTCATAGGAATCAACTCATTTCGGCGGACCCCCTATTTTGAGACAAGCCAATGCCCCCCCCTGCAGGCTGCTGTCTTGATGCTTCTCCTCCCTTTTTTTAAATGTTGCTCTATTTCCCCTTTTGCAGGCCTTCCGGCTGGAAAACAGGGAATCCGCGGCAGTCCATCCCTAACAACACAAGCTTAAAGTCCAGAAGCTGGGGCAGTGAGCCGCAAACCGCCTAGCCGCCTAGGTGGCCATGGGTCAAAATCCAAATCGTACCCCGAGTGAACATCCCAATCCCCACTAAATAGGCTCTAAAATGTGTGGTGCACCTACCCCAAAATGGTACCATTGGCTTTGACCCACAGCCAGGTAAACACACCCAACACAATTCAGCCTGCCTGCGTCCTGACCATCACCACCATCTTGGACAGGCGACCCTTGTCCTGAGGCAGTCCGTACGCGCCGCGACGCATGTGAGTCATCTCTCTCAACGTGTTGATTCGAGGTCCTTAAACAGGTGGCATGTCTCTTGCCTGTGAGTCTCCATCCGTGTTTCGGAACCCATGGGCCCCAGTCAACGATTTATGCTTCTTTAGAGGACCTCATCTCTTTGAGAGCTCAACGTGTTGATTCGAGGTCCTTGCGAAGGTGTCATGTCTCTTGCCTGCGAGTCTCCCTCCGCATGATTCCTTAATGGACCTGGACAAATAAGATCAATGAATCTTTCCGGTGTTCTTAGAAGCCTCCCACACAAAATCATTCACACTGGATGGCTTGACCGAACCTCACATATCAATGAACACGGCATCCCCTGCCAGGAATCTACAAGGGATAGTTCATGGAATTGTCTCATTCCCCGCTGAACATTGAATAGACCCTGATGAACAGTTGAGATTAGTTATGTACACCACCGACCATCTGGTGCGAAGCGGACTTTGCCCTTAGACCGGTCCTAAATGGCACCTCATAGCCACCAAGTCAATGGTGACTGCTACTGGGAACCCAGGATATCTCTACTCCATCTGCTTAAGTCCTTGGAACAAATGAACACATGTGGTGATAGATTCGGGGGGTCTTCCCTCCAAAAGTGGTCTGAATGCCCACTAAAAGGGGACACCCCCCTATTAATCAACCAGGGGTCCGGGGTTAACATCTGGGAACAGAAGCCCAACGAGGCACCGAGTAGACCTTGGCCAGCGCGGTGTGGTTGGCCGCTTGGATTTCCAGAAAGGAGCTGTTGCACTGCTGCGCCACCTGCGAAAAAGCGCCATGGCCCAACCCCATCCAAATGATTAGAATATAGGGGGTGGCAGGTCTTGGCGTATTTGGCGAAACAGGTGTATTTTCGATATATAATTCTACATGGTACATCAATCATGTATTCTTCAGAGTCGGTTTCATAGCTAGCCAGCCTGAAAATATAAAGTAGTCTCGAAGGAGACCCCTCAGAATTCGTTGCTGCTTAGTTTTTTCTGGCCTCCCTGCAACTTCACGTGGCACCTGAGAAGGTTGTCCATTTGTTTGAAACACAAATAACCTAGTCGTTATGTTTTTTGAGCCCCATTTCAGTCTCTGCCTCAAATTGGTGATCGTTCCGAGCAGCTAAGTTTGGCAACTTTCCCTAAACCTACGAGGTGGCTTTTAATAGCAGAGCATGGGCCAGCGATGTTTGGATCAGTGCCTGGAATACGAGGTTGAACAGGAACCATTACCACATTGCCCCAATCCTGACACTTGTTCCATTGAAGAGTACCCCATGCCACATCCCCATTCTAATCTGGGCTATCCTCAGGTCCATTGAGGTCCCCTGCTAACAGTTTAAATTTCTGTGGGTTAAATAAACGGAAACCTAAGCACTAAACCAACTAAAAGCTAAAAAGCTCAGGATCCGGACGGCTGGGGACCACCAAATACTTCTTTCGGCCCTCGGTTCCCTGGACGTAGCTTAGAGTCGAGGACTAAGAAGTGTTTCTCACTTCCGATCGAGTGGGTTGGCTCAAAAGGTAACCAAACTCAGCTTCTTTGCAACTGGTGGCTTGCTGGTCAAGTGAAGAGGTCTCCCAGCTACCCTCAGAATCATTTCAGCTTCCAAACCACCAATCCGAGCCGAGGGCTTCCTCACCTGCGCGTTTGCCACTCCATTGCTTCGATCCCAAAAAAGTGGACCCAAGCCCGCCACGGAAATCAGGAAATTAGGGGCCCAGGTACAGCGTCCTATGGCTTCAACATGCTGCCACCTTCCCGTGCCGCTTTCACGGTGAAAAACTGGTGGCTCGCCATTTCCGGCGGGGAGCCCACCGATCGGAAAGAAATTCGTGCGACGCCGCACACTTCTGTTTCAAGCATTTAGGTTTGACCGCACTTGAAGCAAAACACGAACCAACGACAAGCGAATCCCGGCTCTAGCTTAACCTGCAACCTAAACCAGGGCTCAACTACTTTTCCCGAAAGCGGAGAGACCAAAATTAGCCCTCGATGCTCGTTTGGCAAGATTCTAGGGGTTGATTCCCCATTCTTTTCAACCATCGTTCTTTTCCAAAAACCGGCTGGGTCCCCTGCTTTGTTGGCTTCCTGCAAAGAAGGATCCCCGGAAAGAGTGGTTGGAAGGTACCCCTAAAAAGATGGATGACAAATCCCTCATGCGCGCCAACCGTTATGCCGCTCCCTCGGCCTGGGTGTACAGCCGCAGCTCCTTCTCCCGGAAGTCGCTGGAATCGGGCCTGCAAACAAAACCAACACCAAAACCATCGACCGGGACATTCCCTGCAAAGAGCATCCCTACTTGATGCAAACCAAAGAAATGGCCTTTGAAGCATGCCCATTCCCTACTTGATGCAAACCTATCGCAAATGACGCCTTACTGTGGATGGACAAATCCGGAACTAGCATTCACTGGGTTCCATCCATCCAACTGGTGCAGGCAGGACTGGGCCCTAGAGCAGGATCTAAGCACCTCATTTATGCCAGTTTCGTCCTTTTTGCCTCCAAATTCGGAGGGATCAGGCTCGAGCGGACTTGCAGTGGCTGCTGATACAACGTTGGCTCTGCCACGGACATATTAGACTTTTTGATTGCAAACAGCAAAGACGCTGCAGACTTGTCGCAACCAGCTTTGTCTTTTCAGCTGCTTGGCAAACAGGGTGGCTGGGAGAGGGAGTTGCCGAGGGGGGCGGGGGCTGGGATCCTCCAACGAATCTGGGTTGCTCGTCCCTCAAAAGGTCGGTCCTTTTTGGGAAAATCGATGGCCCTGCTAGTTGATTGAACCACCAGGTAAACCCGGGCCCTCTACTTTTTCAACCAAATCAACCAAAAAGGACACCTATGACTGATCAACTTTCACAGGAGTAGTGAAAAACCACTGTTTCCAAAAGGTCCAAGGAGCTGAAATCACACCAAGGCCCAGCCACCACCTCCAAGCGAGATTCCACTGCTCCATAAGGGACACCTGGTATTTCGAAGGCGAGCTCGCCCCAACACGCAAATAGCCAAACTTTGGGGAAATGCGGACAACCCAATCAGTCCGGCCAAAAACGAGCCCAAAAAACACAAGAATATGGACTAATAAGAAAAGGGGCGGAGCCCCCCCGCCCCTCCAAAGAACTTGTGGAAAACTGAGCCACAAACCAAAGGGAAAGCCCCAAAACTCGCTTCCTGAGTGGACGGGTAAAAAAAACAACAACCCAACTTGTTCTTTACCACTAAACGTCCAACCCAAGTCTGAACTGTTTGTTGGCCACTAAAGGTCTAAACCCAATAATTGACTAAAGTCCAGGAACTCACAAAGTGAGGCACTGCAAAATGGCATCCAAAACCCCAAAAAGCGACGAAGTCCAACTCAGGAAGTGAGCAGATGTGCCTCGGCCAGGTTTCCAAGTACTCCTTCGCTCGACGGGCTTCGGACCTGGAGCCAAAGCGGACTCCTCAAATCAGCCGCCTCACGTGGATTTGCGCTTTGGAAGATTTGGGGGTAAGGGGACATGAAGAACAAAGAAAGAGAAAAGGCAAACAAGTGAGTAAAGTCCAGCCATGAGAGCACATTAGATTGCCGGAAGGAGTAACTGAATATACTGGTGTAAAGGACATACCAAAGAACAAGCACAGAGGAGGCACGGAGCTTGCCACGAACTGGGGTGGTTGGAGCCTGGTTTGGCTGAAATTCAAACCCAAGACAGTCCAAGATCCAAACCACCGGTTCAGACCTGCGATTTCTTACCGCCACGAACTCCCAACAACAAACATGGTAACATCGATCCCAAAACTTCCATTTGCTTAAGCCCCCTGGAAAAAATCCAAGAGTGATAGAATCCCTTTAAAACCAACAGGGCAAAACAATAAAACAGCAATATTCTTAAGCCAATGAAAGAAAACCATGTAGACCCTAGGTGTCTTCCATGGCTTATCTAAGATTCGGCATTGGCTCCAACGACCAGCCAAGGGCCAAGAAGCCCGCCGCCCAGCCACAGCACGGAGGAGCACCGAAGGTTCCGGGAACTCAGCAGCTCCTAAGGCAGAAGCCATGAGCTCAACTAGGTCCTCCAGTAGAGAGGTTAGGGTTTAGGCTGCCAACTTTTTTTTTGTCTATTTCAGAGGGGGGGTCTTTTTGCCACCTTTGGTGGAAAATTGATGGACCCCCTTGTAGTGAAGGATTCCTTTTTGAGGGGGTCGCCAATTTTCTCAGAAAAGGTGGCAAAAAGACCCCCCTGGTCTAGAGGAACCCTCCCAACCAAAACAGGGGTGAGAAAGGGCACTACCAGGGGGAATCAGCTCAAGCGCGGATGTCGCCAGGTGCGAGAAGTAGGGAATGAGACATGGAATGAACCTGATTTCTTTTTCCACAAGCCAACGGAAGCCACCAGTTGGATGGTTTATGAGGGTCATTCCCTCATTCCCTGAGCATCAGCAAGGTACGCATATAGTTAGCCTTCCATTTGGTGACTTGGATGGTGCTTTAATAACCAGGTGCTCAATCCAAACTACTCCAAACTGTTAAGGGGCGCTTACATAACAGTAGATATGTTGGGGATCTGCCTCTATCCTCAAATGGCAACTACGTTTGGAGGAGACCATAGGTTCTACTATGATCATGACCACTTGGATTCATAATACCACACAACCCTGCACTGACTATCTTGGCCAACTTCCGCATTCTTTTCAGGCACCCTTTCCCCAGCAAGCCAACAACGAGCAACTGGAAACAAACGTTGTTTGACAATAAAGATGCTTAACAGCAACAACAAGCAACGGGAAACAAATGTCGTTTGAAGATAACAATGGTTAACAATGGGAATCAACCCATAGAACAACAGGGGTTCGACGCGGTGAAGATGCGGTTGGTGCAAAAAAAAAGAAAAAGCGTTCGTCCCGTGGTGTTTGTGATTGAAACTTGCTACATCAGATTTTGCCCCCAACCAAGCATAGTAAATATAGCCGGAAGGCAGGATCCCCAAATAAAGAACCTGCTTCATGGTAAGCTCGCTTGACACTCCAATCGGTGAGTTCGCTACAAAGATTCGCAAATAAACTGAAACTGAAGATATTGACATCAGGTGGCCATGAATTCAACCGGGACCCCCTTCAAAAGTGGTGGGTGGACATAAATCCCCGCCTAAATGATGTCAACCAACCGTGTATCCCCAATTCAAACTCATATGACTCATACCCATTTGTTTCCAACTTGCTGGCACGCGTCAGCCTGCCGCCGCAAGTACAAGGATCGTGCCTGGCGGGCGCTTTTTTGGCGCAGGTGCAGGGCCCGGGCGGGTTGAAACTCTGCAAGAAGCAGCAAGGGCGTGTGCTCATGCCGATGTGCGGCTTGACAAGTTTGCTTCTGTGCCTTTACATGGGTCTTCAACACTTTTAGGTTGGCTCTTAGGTTGAGTTTTCTGTTGGGTCTTTGCTTGGAGCCGCTTCCCAAAGAGGATTGAGCAACCACCCCAAAAGCGGTGACACATGTTTCAGGACAAGACTGGCAGCAGCTTAGGTTAGGCATCCCGAGCACACAGGTGCCTCTTAGACCCGGCGCATCAGCATGCAACCCGACAACAGGGCTCCAAACAAAAATGAAGGGCGTTTCGGGTTCCATCTCAATCTGCAGAGTACAATGCCATAGCCAGGATGCTTTGCTCCAGACTTGTGCCTTTTCATTTGCGCAAGCCTTTGAGCCCGCGACACACATGGGAGAAGGTTGCAGACCCCTTCTGGACTGTTCTTCCACAAACAAAAAAAAGAAGCGGTCCAAGGGCGCTCCCACCTTGTGCCTTGACGTGAGTTGTGATTCTCAAAATGGAAACGGCGCAAGTCCCGACCTGGATCAATCAAATTGAGGTGTCTTGGTACCATTGCCTTGTGGAAGTAAGCAACGGCTCAAAAGGCCAAAAATAAACTGTGGTCTTCCACGCCCTGCCAGCTGACATCAGTAAAGGCAATGGTTCTAAGTTTTGCATTTGCTTCCACTGCTCACTTCCTGAGTTGATTGGCGGGGAAAAGTCAAGCTTTTTGTTTGCCACTAACCACTGCCAGAGTTCAGACTACCCTCCAGGACTCTCCAAGTCAAAAATATGACCAGCCCATCACAGAGTACTGTTCTGAGGGCTGGGGTGAGTCCACGACGTCACGGCATCCCCCAGCGCAAGGTTTGAGAGGTTGCGCCACAAAAGGGACGTGGAGTCATGAAGTGACTGAGCCAAAGCGTTGAAAAATAATAAAAACAACATGAATATATATATATATATATGTATATATATATATATATATGTTATTTTTCATTTTTTTTTTTTAAAGCAACATACTTCATATTTGCTGCTCAAACAGAAGGATGCAAACTGGAACTCGCCAATGCCCCTGCCAGGGCTCCCAGGCCTCAGCACGCTGGCACTCGAACTCCAGCTCCGCCTGCTGCAGCATCGAGTCCAACAAGTTGTCCGGCACACTGCCCTCGCGGCTTGACCCCGCCCGACCAACCAGCAAAAAAACGTGGTGCGATAAGCGGGGAAGGAGACATGAACCCAGGGATTCATTCCCCTAAAAAAAACAGCAGTTGGATGGTTTATAGGGGTCATTCCCTTATTCCCTAGCATCAGTAAGATTACTAGGGGGGGTGATTCTCCTAATTACCTGGGGTTGATGAATAGCGGGTCAACAGGAAACGATGCATTTCGGCTTAACCATTTTAAGACAGACCCATCCCAATCGAAGGTGCCAGCTGTTTCACTTTGAGAGAATGCTCTGGAGCCCTTTCAGTGCACTCCAGGCAAGGCCATTGGGGTTCTTCAAAACCTTAGGGCGCCTGGGGAGAAACTTCTGGTATGGTTCAGCCACTAAACGAACAAATGCAAGTATACAGGCCTCAAAAGTTTCCGAAGCTACGGAAACCTGACAAGTGGTTCGGTGACGCCCTTTCATGGGTTCCTTTTTCTGATTGTGCCCCCTCTAGGGTGCAAATACTAGTGCAAATCATCGCCTTACCATAGCAAATCAGGGCCTTCCCACCCACCTCTCCTGACTCCTAAGGTTTTGCACTTCCTGAGTTGATTGGCCAAAAAAGTCTAAACCCTCTGTTTAGCACCAAGGTTGTCTTCCCAAAACGAGAGGAAGTCCATGAACGCGGGCGAGAATCTGAGGCCGTTCCTGGGGAACGCTGGGATTTGGGTTGCCCGTCCTGGGTCAGCGCCACCCCCTGGGGGTTGTTTTGGTACGCAGCCCCGTACATGGCGAAGAGCTGGCCATTCGGCAGCTCCGAGCACACGAAGACCTGGCCATCCGATCCAGGCTGTTCCTTCCGCTGGATTGAAAAGGCCTTCTTCCACCCGCTTAAGTCCCCTGCAAAAAAAAAAATATCTACAGCAGCATCAGTAGTTATAAATTCCCAACCAAACGGGGAAAATGGAAGCCTTCATGGAATCTGAGCTTGGGGAAGGGGGGGTAGTAGAAAAGGGGGCTTGGATCAGGAAACCCGAACTTGTAGCGGGGTCCGCAAAATCTTGGCTTTCCCTTTACCCTCCAAACCCAACCCCAAAAGTGTGCCCTCAGTTCGCCTTTCGGAAGCTTGCGGAGCCGACCAAACGACGGCGAAGCAGGTTCTCAGCCGGGAAATTCGTTAGAATGGCCCCCCCAGACCCACCGGCTTCTCCTTTTGGCCTTGGGATTCCCCAGGCTTCGGGATCCGGAACCCATCAAACGAGTCCCAACAAGACAAGTCCCAATCGTCCAAGGGACCCCATCTTTCAAGGAAGGTGACCTGATACCGAATGCTCACTTAGTGGATTGGCCACAAATAGCCGCCGAACTGCGAATCTTTGCCAAAAAAAGGTCCTCAAGTCCGTTTCAGCTCAAGAAGTCAGGCTTGTGCCCCATGGTAGCAGGCTAAGTACTCAGTACATGTTTCTAGAGTCTGGCACCATCATGTTTGGAAGCACCGAAGAACTATGGAGTCCCCATGAGGGGTGGTTCGAGGGCGGGGATTCCCTAAACCTTTTATAGGGAACCCCACTAAGTAACCCCCTACCCCCACATGGGATTCCACATCAGCCTAAGCTTCCATGTGCTTCTCCCCCCCCCCTGGACAAAAGTAAGCCTATGTCCAGTAGTGGTAGCTTCCCTTTAAAACCAAAAGGGGGAAATAAATGAAAAACCAACGGGGGAAAATTAAATTGAACACCAACAGGGAAAAATCAATTAAATACCAACAGGGGAAACGACGTAAAACAAAGAGGGGGAAGTAACAATTAAAACCAACAGGGGGAGCTACATCAAAACCAACAGGTTAACATAAATTAAAAACCAACAGGGGAAACACAAATCATTCAAGCCAACAGGGGCAAATCAACTAAAAACCAACAGGAAAAATAAATTAAGAAAACTAACAGGGGAACAATAATTATGTCCAACAGTGGAAAATAAAGTAAACACCAACAGGTGAACATAAAAAAGAAAAACAAAAAGAAGAAAAAACAGGGACAATACATGGGGAATAAAAAACAAAAAAATGCTCATTTCAGCACATGGAAGTCAGAGAAAGGGGCTGCTCCCCGCCTGCTCCCCGGGCTCCATGTCCCGCGCGGGGCCCAGCAGCGCCGTGCCCGGCAGGCGCCCGGTGACCGGGGCGTTCAGCGCCAAGGCGCCGCAGAGCCGCTGGTCCCAGTGCCGCGCCACGCCGTCCAGGAGACTGACGCAGCTTGTTGGTTTTTCTTCTGTTTTTCTCTTTTTTTTGTTTGGTCGTTGCTTCTTTTTTATTCAAACAAATGTGGTTTTTGCTTTTTTTTCTCCGGCGTCCCAGGTGCAACTAGTTTTACTCCGGACATGAAGCAGTGATTTTTGGGGGGACGTTGCGGGTGCAACCAGTTTGGTTCTGTCAGCTACAGGTCGCTTTCTCACAGCCGGCTGAATTCTGATTCTGTTTTCTTTTGTTCACTTGGTTTCATTGGATCCGGACTTGAAGCAGTGATCACTCACTCACTCACTCACTCACTCACTCACTCACTCACTCACTCACTCACTCACTCACTCACTCACTCACTCACTCACTCACTCACTCACTCACTCACTCAAGTTCGCACGGGGTCTCTCTGGGCGCAGCTGATTTATTGGGGGGGGGGGGGAGCAGTGATCACCCTTTGGGGGCCAATAGAAATGGACCAAGCAGCGGAAACTAAAGTCATGAACCACTGTGGATCCGGAAGTTGCAACCAGTTTACTTGCAACCAGTTGAAACCAAACTAAAAGGCCAAAAGGTCAGCTTTGCGCAGGTGAAACACAACACAAACTAAGAAAACGAGGATTTGGTGGGGTGCATATTTTGCCTGGGACATCCGAGGTCCCTGTTCAAACATGGTTTAACATCTTTGTACGGGGCCGACGGCTGGTTGCGTAAGCCAAGATGCCCAAACTTGGTGGGAATTTGGGACCTTCGTTTGGAGTTGGTAGCTTTTTAGGGTTGCTGAAAGAAAAACTCAAATGTACCTTGCAACGTGGTTGGAGTTTCTCGATGGTTGGAGTTACCACGTTGCCCAGTGGCCTGGAAAAACAAGGAATCCTTGGGGGTTTGAAAGTGGAAAAACAAGTTGCTGGTACCCAAATGGTTCGGGGTTCGTTGTTTATCTGAACAACGACAGCTTTGATTTGGGGCCAAGAACCTGCTAAGGTGTGGATTGTGGGTCAGTTGCTGTACTAGGCGGAACCATTCCTGAAGGTACAGGACCCCAGCAAGAGGCACACTCCCTAATCAAGCAGGATTCAATCCTGGATTCCTTCCCCCCAGTTGTCAATGACGCTTGGTTGAAAAAGGACACCCGTTGTCTGGTTTGATCATGTTTAGTAGGAATCCCACTCAACAGGAAGCGACAAAAACGGTGCCACTGAACAACTCTGTGCCAAAGCCCCCTTGCTGGTGTATCTCTTGGCCACTTGAAGGGATGCTGGACACGTGCCCAAACAGGACGTACCCGCCCCTCGGGAAAAAACAGAATCGGGCGGTCCAAAAACTGAGCCTATGGTGGGCACCCCCGAACATGAGTTTAGGGGGCTTCCTTGGCTCCCCAACAAAAAAGAACATCCATGGGTGCGTTTTTGGGGACCCCACCAAAATGGTGCATGTCCTCTTGGTTTTCCCTATCGAAACCAACCCAAAAAGGGGTTCCCCAAAGACAGACTTCTCTCATGGGATTGTCTCCTTGCGGGGCTTCCCGCCAAAAAACGCGTGGCTTTCCCTTTAGCTTCCCTTTAAAGGACCCCACCCCAAGGGAAGCGCCAACCCGAGGGAGCCCAAGGAATGCGCCGGGGCGGGCCCGGGGGCGAAGACGCCCTGCTCCAGGCCGTGGTGGAGGAAGAAGCCCAAGGCCCAAGCGGCTTCCGAGCGCTTCAGCGCCTCGGAAGCCACTCAGATGCCCAATGGATTTTTTTATGGGGAAAAAAGCGGGTTGGTTGACTTTAAGGGGAAGCCTCCCAGATTTTGATGGGAAAAAAGGATCTGCAGTCGATTTTTGTTGCTGTTGGTTGACTTTATATAAAGGGGAACCCTTCTCCAAAAGAAGGGAACAAGGGGAAGCTGGCCAAGCTTTGGTGGTTCAAGTGGTTGCCCCCTTTTGGGGCTGGGTCTCATTTTTGTTCGTGGGTTTCAAGGGCAGCCGAAGGGAGCCCCTGAGTTCCGGGGAAGAAACGAGGATAAGAGCACCCTCGGCTTACATCGCTTACCAAGGAAGACCCTCAAAACCTCGCCCAGACCTGGTCGCCCGCTAAGCCCCGGATTCCATTGAGTACGCACCCTTTAAAAGGAACTCTTGCCGTTCGAACTTAGTCAGGTATCGCGATCCTAGCTTCTCCATTGCATTCTCAACGGGAAGTTGGCTCGAAACGCGTGCAAAGCCGCAGGGAAACAAGCCCTGGGATCGGATGGTCCCCCTAGTTGCTGACTGGAACAGCCCAAACATGCTGCAAATGATTTGCTAGAGTCTATCGTATCTGAATAAACATTTAACTATATCTCTATATCTATAAATGCATGTATATATATATATAGATATACGCAGGTGATGTACATGCCTCTCAAATCACCCAAGAGCGGACCAACATGAATTGCGCTTGCTTCGAACCGCAAGTGACCAGCACAAGATGTGGTTGCGAACGCGCGCGCGCGCGCGCGCCTGCTTCAGCTTTAATCTTTGAAGCTCTTGCAGAATCTCGTCATTGATGTCCACTGTCCTGCACTTCATCGACACATTTTTCTGACCGGCTGAGTTGATTGGCCAGCAAAAGCGCAAACTTCCTGACTAACATGATAATTACCCGCCAACGAACATTGCCAACTCAACTGGCAAGTTTCCCTATGAAAGTAGCCTTCATGGGTGAAATCGGTGCAAACGCCCTCGCCCTCAGACTACAGTGCGAAACTTACACCAAACACACCAAAAGTCCAAAAGGCGAGCTAAGCCTGGCAATGTCCATGTCTCAGTTGTTCAGTGAGCCTGGAAGACAAAGGGAATCCTTTTTTGGGAAGACCATTTTTAGTGGGGCAGCCACCCAAAAAACAAGGAAAAAGGGTGCCTCTGAACAACTGAGATGTTGCCGAGTCAGACTCAAAATGCCATGCCACTAACCGTCGCAGCAAACCCAGCGCAAGGATTGCTCCGAGGTGCATGAGGCATGCAACTCTTCAAGTGTTGCTTGGTGGCTCACCCCGTTTTGTGCTGCGACCCTGGTAGGAAAACCCTTTTCATGCTTGGGAAGGTCACCCAACAGAGGAAAGAGAGTGCCACCGAACAACTGGGTGCACTGCGCTTGGTGGTTTTGGCGGGGGGGGGGGGGGGTGATCTGCATTATATTCAAATCATCTTCAAGCATGGTGCCCCTCACTTGCTGGTTCTTTTTCTGGGGGGGTGTAGCTAAATGTATGAAAATCATCTTCAAGCATGGCACAGCCATTTGGCAGGGGGGAGGGCATACCCTTCTGCACCCGGCCTCTGCGCCGTGGTGCCATGCAAAGCCATGCGCTGCTCTCCTGGGGCCGTGCAAAATCAGCTCCTCCCTACTTGATTGAGCAGGCGTAGGCCCTCTGCAAAACCTTGATTCGCAGGCACTTGCCAAAAAGGCGAGAGAATATGTAGGCTTTTGCGGGGGGCGTAAGGGAAGCCAAAGTGAGACCAAATACTTCCACGACGATTCCAAATGAAAGGCGGGCACCTTTGGGATTTCCAAGTAAATCAAGAATATCAGTTCCCAAATACACTCCTGGGGGGTGTTTTCCCCTTTACCACATTTACAGGATTCCAGCAAGTTGATCTTGTCTTTGACCCGCCAGCTGGATGACCAACTTTGTCCTGCCTGAGTACACCCTGAATGTCGCACCAAAAGAGTTAAAGCCACATGGACAAAAGGTCTCCCTCCAGGCATCCGCTTGATAAGAATAAGATGATCCGAGTCCGGCCCATAGTCAACCCTGAAATGACACAGCAGCTGGATTTTCGGAGGGGGCCCCAGTTGAAGCCTTGAGGCCCACTGCATTTGGGCAGCGTGGTGAAACAAACATGCTGCTTTTGCGGCGCAGCAGCCAGCAAATGGTTGCGACCATCTGCGGAAAAAAAAATGTTACCCTCTCGCCAATCAAATGGCTGTGGGTCCAAGACTTCCACTTTCTTAAGCCCCCTGGAAAAAACATAAAATATGTCCAGTAGTAATTGGTTGTTGGTTGTTGGTTGTTGGTTGTTGGTTGTTGGTTGTTGATTGTTAATCTAAAACCAAGACGGGAACGAACACACAAACATATTTCTAAGCAAATGGATGAACATAGGTACCGATTTCTCACCGAGTCTCTGTTGAGCATCCCTGAGAAGGGCATCTCCGCCGGCAAGGCGCGGAGCCAGGCAATAGAGCCGCCTAAGCGAAAGCGTTGGCGGCCCGTACGACGGAGCAGGAGTGAGAGGACAGCACTTGGCATCACTCTTATCATTTGATTCATACATCCAGCCTACAACGGATCCATTTGGCTGTGGGTCAAAATGAATGGTACCATTTTGGGGTAGGTGCACCACCCATTTTAGTCGATTTTAGTGGGGATTGGGATGTTCACTGGGGGCTACCCGGGATTTTGACCCATGGCCATCTGATCCACTGATCCACTCGGATGTCCTACAAAAAGAACACGTCTGAATCTGTTGCTTGCCAGTAAGGAAATGGCTGGGAAATGGGACAGTAGCAAGTCGTAGCGGAGACACGATGCCTATTTCTGACAAACGCTTCTGAACCACGGGTGCCCTGCACCAAATGTTGGTCTGGTGTCCATTGTTGGTTTGGTGGTGGTTTGCTTTTCAAATTCATCCGTTGTTTCTGTTCCCTTTCCCCTGCAGAAGAGACCCCTGCAACCTCAAAATGACTTGGTTGGGGACTAAAATCCTAAATTATGTCACGACCATGGCAAACTGGGCTGAAACTGGGCTGTCCTCGAATCCCCTGCTAATGGGTTGAAAGGGAAAATGGGTTAAATGGAAACCCAACTCCTACACCAACCAAGAATCTATAGATTCAAGGGTTACCGGTTTGGGGCCCAAAAAGGAAACAACAAACCGTCCAAGTGCGCTGCTCGCACATTTTCACGCTTGAACAGCCACACTGCGGATGCAACGGATGTAAAACCCCAAACTGACCGATCAAATTCTTCACCCCCCTCTGCGTGTTAAAGGGGCCTTTCACAAAGCAGCCAAACAGAAACACAACAGAGGGAGAAGGTCATGGGGAACCGTTGTATACATGCAAACCATGACAGTTGCGCTTTTAGCGCCACTGCCAAGTAGATTGGTAACCGCTGCTGTCATTCCATCCTCCCCAACCGGACCAGTTCTGCCAGCTGCCTTGGCTCCAATGCTCACCCTCGCGGGCGGCGGGAGCACTTTGATCGGCATAGCGAGCGGCATTGCGAGCGAGGTGCTTGGTGCTCTCGTTCTTTGAAAACTCAACTGAGTTTCGGGCATATCGCTCGTTCTGGCTGAATATCCAGTCCATTTCGTGGCGGAGGTCCTCGAGGGAATTGCTTCGCAAATGGATGATGCCATTCCAACATCCAATGCTGCGAGGCTTGTCCTGCTCGGAGACAACATTCACAAAAGCCCGTGGACTGTATGGCATTCCCTGAAACATGATGATCCAACGGGAACTGAGTGCATCCTGCAATTCGCTGGGCAAAAACTCCACCTCCGTCTTTATGTACGCGAGCCTTGCGATTCGCGACTCAGAAGTTGATCCAAGGCCAACTCCAAGAGTGCGCTGGGCTTGCGACTGCTTTGGAGCAGCCAAGACGAGGTTTGCACACAACTCCATGCGGAGTATATCCGCATCCCGACGGCCCACTTCAAGCATACGAACCCTGTATTGAAGGTCGAGTTCATAGCGATCAAGTAGAGAGTGGTAGCCGTTCTTCAGGGCGGACTTGTGCTTCTTCCGGGCCTCCTGAATGACAGCACTGTCCGGGGAGTTCAGGCCACGAAGGATGCTACTCCGATCCTCCTCGCGGAGGTCAAAAGTTCCCACGGATGCCAAAACCTGGGCTGTGACATGGGTGCTGAGGCCCATCTTCTTCAGCAAATTGGAACGCTGCACAAGGTAATTCTTTTGCTGCTCTTTCAACAGGCGAGGATTGAGGGGTGACAACTGCCCACATGATGTGCAGTGGACCTGCCCCTCGAACACACTGTTGTTGCAAACCGGGCACGTGGCGACATTCAGCTCAACGTTCTCCATTGGATTGAAAGTCTTCTGTCTCTTCGCTTCCCCTTGCGGGGCGCGAGGAGACGCCACATTGGTGCGGGTTGTAGCAATGCGCTCCAGTGCTGTGGACCGATCATCAACCACGGCTTGGTCGCGCTTCATCCCCTGGGGTTCATCCTCAGTCGCCTCAGCTGGTGCACCTGCATCCGATTGCTCGGAGCGAGTGTACCATACATCGCCATTTGTAGCGTCCAATACAGAAATAATCGTGTAGTTGGGCACCTTGTCGCGCGTGAGGACGCCATCGCTCTCTGTCTTGAAAAAGCAAAGCCCTGCGCGAATGGCCATCCTGAGGTCGATCTGTATTTCCAAGGGCTTGTTAGCGCGTACACCTGAGATGTAATTTTCGTTCGTGCTCGGAATGTCAGCGAAGAAAACGTGAGGTCTGCCTGTCTCGTGCTGGTCACCTCCTCCTGGAAGCAGTCCGTTTCGCATAATGTTGGCGAAGTTCCGCTTATCGGTGCGATGATAGAGCACCGTAGGAGGGTTGCTGCAGACGTTCCAGCCAGACCAGCGCCCGAGGTCCGTCCCCGGGTTCACGTACCACTCCTTCGCGATGCCGGAGTCGTCAATTTGGAGCCAGTCCTCATGGCCTTGGGAGGCCTTGATCTTGAAAATCCAATGAGAACAGGGGACGTCTCCGCACCGGCTTGCGTCCGGGCAACCAAGCGCAATGAACCTCTGCTTTTTGTCGAGCTTGAAGATGTCCATGATGCTTTGAATATTCCATGGAATGGGATGTCGCAGCTCCTTGCGAAGCGCGAGTCCCAAATCTTCAAGGTCCATGTAGCCGTCCTCATCCATCACGTACCCACATCCTTCTGTCCCTCGACCACGGAGGATCTTCGAGATGCACGTCAGGGAGCTGTGGTACTCATTGCTGATTCTCCTGACGGAAGGGTCGTAATCAAAAGAAGGCTGCTTGATGATCTCAAGTCGCTTGGGGCCCTCACCATAGTCAACATACTTCACGCCGTCATGGATGCTATAAACCCAGCAATCGTAGTGGCCCCCAGTCACGTTCCTCCCGTAGGAGTCGAGTGGTACCGGCCTGCTCGTCGCCTCGTCCCTCTGTGCCACCGCAGCCGCCTTTGCACCGGCTTGCGCCGGGCGAACACTTTCGGAAACATCAGCACCGGAAGGCTCACCTGAAGTTGCAAATTCGGCTGGATCGACAGGGGCAAAATCGAGGGGCTGCCGGAACTCCACTTCTTCACGGGTGAAAGGGAGCCCGATCATCTCTGACAATGAAACGCCGCACTTCGTTAGCGTTTCCTTGCAGTACGCGAGAACCTCAACGTTGACTGTGCAATCCTCTTGGTGGCGCACCTCGAGCACATCGATCGGACGCATTGTGCAATCATGCGAACGTGTCAGCTCGGCTACGCTGCCCATTGCGGGGCGCAAGATGGAAAGCATGTACAACATATGATGGGTTCCGCGCATAAACTGGACGGTCTTCGTGATATTGTCGTCACTGAAGCACATATGATACCTGTCCAGCAAATCGATGGTCTCGACGAAGGGTGTAGCATCAACATATACAAACATATTGTTGGGGTCGCCGATGATGTAATCCCGGACTTCCGTCATGAAACGGTCCCAAATCATAGAGAAGCCGTAGAGGTAGCTCTTCGCGCCGGTCATGACTCCAAGGCATGCGCAGCCCTTGCGGGCCGCGAAATCCCTGGTCCAAGCCAGGTGCCGTCTGGTGTCAGCGAGAAGTTGCTCGGCGTCTCCGATGGGGGTGTCGTAAGGATATGTACCAGTGGGCTCGAGGCCGTCCTTCCCAACGAGCTCGTTGCCATTCCAGTAAATCATCGGAATGATGGTGGCTGCTGGGTAGTCGGTACGCACCTCGTCGATGAGGGCGGCCAACCGCTTGCACAGCTGTTGTAAGCCCTTGCCCCAAAGCATTTCAGACCTCCATGCACCGACACGCGCCGGGCGAGAGGCATCCAAACGCTCCGCAAAGTCGTACTTGCGAAGCTTGCGCTTCTTGCCCGAAACCATGGACAGTCCTGAATCAGCGACAGTCACATAGATAAGGAGGTCGCGGTCTGGTACACGTGGGGCCTGCAAAACTTTCAAGTACGGTTCGCTTATGGTTAACAGGGGTGTAAGCAATTGCAGGTAGTGCGGTTGGTCCTGCACCCATGTATGAATAAGCGACTGTGCAGAGGTCGTCTCGAGGAGGCCCTTGACCGTGGCGGCGAGGTTAGCGTCGTATTTGCCGTTCGTGCATACCGAAGTGGTAGCGACATTCTCCATCCATCTCCTCCATGCCGGATCGCAATCCCTCGCGGGATGCGCCATAGCCGTCGCGCTGCTCATTGCGAAGAAGATGCAGCACAATCACTCGAAAGCAACGGCTGCATGGTGGCATGTTCAGAAAATGCATTGTGAACGGCATCGGTGTAAACATACGTGTATCCCTCGGCTTCCTTCAAATGCGTACCACGGCTTTCATCATGCTCGTGAGAACCATCACACTTGAAGTACTCAACCACGGAAATAGTGGGCATATTACTGGCAACGACCCACTGCTTTTTCATAGGTTTTCCATTTCTCCCTTTAATGCCGATTTTGCAACCATGGAATTCGTACTTGTTCATCTTGTACTTAGTCAAGAAACTCCATAGTTCGGGCCATTTCCAATAACGACACGCCTTGGGAAGTTCGAAGGCAACTCTAACGTCATCAGAATAGACATCATTGAGAATGCGTTTGAACCCTCTCAGCAGTGATCGGAATTGCTTGATGTGACCCTCAATCTTGGCAGCACCTTTGGGAGTTTGCTGGTTGACATAACCCCACGGGCATCCTCCAGTGCAAGGCAATGAAACGTAGAACATTATTGCACCCTTAGGATTCTTGCTCCTAAATTCGGCAATTTCATGGACTAACCACTGCCTGCATGTATCAGAGCACCCGTCTTCGGTTTCAGTTACCCGAATGACACGACATCCCTTTGAAGAGTCTCTTGATTCGCCCAACCGTGAGGTCGTCGAACAACAGAACTCAATAAGGAGGCGCTTGGGCTGAGCGTTGCATAGCGCGGCGATCTGCCCCCCCTGATCACTAACTTCTCCGGCCTTGGCGCACGGGGAGAGCAG